TTGCTATACATCACTTCTCACGAAATAAAAGAAATTATTTGAATTAATGCAAATTGAATATCTATGATAACTTATATGTATACAAATTAATTCGATATCTTTTCTTTTATAATTAAATGTTCAAATTTAAAACAGTAATTAAAAAGGTGTATTATTAAAGACACCAAATTAATTTGTACACTTAATATATTATATGATAACTTATACAAAGAGGACCCGAATACTAGGTCAATATATTGCAAAAAAAAATTTTTTAAATGAATAGTGGTTAATTTTATTTTTACATATAAAACTATCCACCACCTGTTTATTAAAATTGATTGAATAACAAAATTAAAACTTCATATAAAGTAAAAATAAATCATAATTAATTAAAAATATTTAGGAAATATATACTGAAATTCGTGTAGCAAGTTCCTTTTTTTTAAAATTTAGATCATGAAATTTCTATTCAGTATATTTTAGAATTTACATTTTTCTCAATAATTAATTTGAACTTGTTTTATTAGCTTAAGTATGTACGTCTATTCCCCTTAAATAAAAACTCGTTGCTCCTTTATTTTTACGTATGAACTTTCATCGAAAAATGTAAGTTTATGACTCTTTATATAAAAAGCTATAAATTATTTTTTTCGTTATCTGTCTCGAATTTGTACCGTGATTTTTTTCACAGCACAAATAATTTCGAACGTTGCCACACTTGTTTTTCTTATTGCAAACCGTAGATTTCTCTTAACACTTTCGAATACAAAATTTGCTTTTTCGTTCAGACATACGAATTTTAGTCGCAACGCATTTTATTGGTGACAAATGAACAAAGTGGGAAGCATAATTAAAAAAGATCATCTCTCGCTTTTTTTTTTTTTTTTAAGTTCAACGCATCGAAGCCTCTTGTACGATTTTTTGAAGCGAATACGTTCAAACATGTATTACAATGTTCCCTCTAAGCTGTGCGCATGCACAGATGCACTGTTCCCGCGCATATAGAATTTTTCACGCGTAATTCAAAATTCTGTGCTCGGAAGAATAACAGATCCGCACAGATGGAAAAGAAATTAGAGGAAACGTTGCTTACGATAACAATAGTTTGAATCGCAAATTTTCCATAGCTTTATTTTCTATATATATATATATAGGTATATAGATATTTATACACTTATACCATTCTTATTGTACAATCCATCGTAGGAAACTCTAAGTTACGATGTAATTTTTTAAAATAATTGTACAATATACTTTTAAATGTAACATTCTTTTAAACAATACGTTATTTTTAAAAGTAAGTGACAAAAAGAACTTAATTAAATCGACAAACGTAATTTCTTAGAATAAATAAAGTGTTATTCTAAGAAAAGATCCTATCAATAATCACGCAAGGTCAGCTCGACAATAATGTCTTTTGCGAATGTTATTATTTATTAAAATGTGGCTAGACACGTTCAGTCAGGGTGGCTCGCGATGGCTGCGTATTTTATTTTATTTTTTTTTTCTTTTTATCTGTGTATATATGTATACGTACATAAATATACATATACATATATCATATACACATATACACACAGGCAACGTACATTTGTATTTATATTTATATTTATAATTCATATTTATATTTATATTTATATTTATATTCATATTTATATCTGTATCTATACATACATATGCGTATATATCCGTCTTACTCTTGGCGTAATGACTAGATAAGTTTCGGCCACCCAAATTTAAACATGTTGTTTGATCCCATATATTTTATTCGTACCATTCCCTTTGTTCGCCGAATCTTTTACGGATTAAAATTTCCATGCCAAAATTCATTTCTGTTTAATTGTATGATATAGAAATGCTGTTTCATTTCCTTTTTGGAATTTAGTATTAAATACGTAAGAATGTATTCCAAGAAAATTAAAATTTGGTGTTGTAAAACACTTGCACTTATGTATTGTAAATTTTGGAATAATATTTTATATTACGCACATTTTAGGAATTGTTTACTAATATCTTCAATATTTGCGAAAGGGTTCGACTTGATTTTCTAATGTGAAAGAACACGTACTTTTTCAATGATATATGAGTGTGTATACATTCAATGTGATATGCGATATGTAACGCGCTGTCTACGCTGTATATGATCAAACATTAATTTGTTTAAGGCTTTTTTTTTTTTTATATTTCTATAATATAAAACATACGCGATGATTAAACGCAGCTGAGCATACAGTGGGTGTAGAGAATATTCGTACATATATCAGTTAGTTTATAACAACATCTTCTAAGAGTGTAATTTAATAATTAATTTCAATAAGTTGTCACCTGGTGTAACGTTGAATTTATCTAAAAACCAAAGAAAAATCCTGGGAAGCATTAATTAATGTATTTCACTCATTCTTATTGTAAAATTAATTAAACATTAAGAGTGATTTATTATTTAGCAATTGTACGAAAATTTTATATGCGTTCATAGCACTCAACGGGTTAACTGTTAAACGTTCACTGCCGAGCTCAGGAAATTAGTCGATCGCTGTGTGCCACAATCTTTTAATCTTGGCGATTATGCACGCGATATCGCGTCAGCGGACATTTAGTGTTTATGATCGAGCACACAATATCACGTAACAGTGAATATATTAAATTATTAAAAAATTAAATAATTTTAATTCGAGTAGATCGCAAAAAAAATAAGATTCAACATTTACAATTAATGCAAAAGTAAAGACGCTTGTGAAACGTACAAGTGGATCATTCTTTGTACTTCTGTGTTAATCCCTTTAACTCTATTTTTTACAATGTACACAAATTTATATGTTATTATAAAAACATTCAAATTGGATCCTGTTTTTATTTATAAATTTATAAACTTAAAGTAAAGTATATAAAAATTGAAATTAAAATTTGTATGCATTTTTATTATAAAATACAACTAAAAAATTAATCTTCTAAAAATATTTTAATTGAAATTAAAAATATAATTGATTTGATAAATTTTTTATATTATTATATATATTTGAACATAGTTTAATTTAAAATACCATCACAGTAATTTAAGAATTTTCTTTGTTTTTTATGAAACTAAAGATTGATCAAACTTGTGCCTTTAATTTATGTAAAATAAAATAAAATTGTTAGTACAAAATTTTAATTTCATTTTTCATTGAAATTTCAAATCAGAAGCAGAGAAATTTGTATTTTATATTAGCACCAGAAATAAGATTATCATTATGAGATTATTGTTATTATTAGTATTATTAATATTATTGTTATCATTATGTATTACTGTTATCATTAATGTTCACAGCAAGTTTACAATCACTCTCTTAATAAATATGTTTTTTGTAAATATAAGAAATGGTTGAATTATTTACGTTTATTGCAATGTATACACTGTTATATACTGACTTATAACTATATATTTTCAATTGGATCAATCAAATACATACTCTAAAAGAATGTGGTCATAATAGCTTTTCAATTTTTATTTTAATCGGTTAGTAAGATACTGCAAAAAGTGGAAGAAATCAATCTTTCATACCAGCATATCTTTTTAATAGATTTATATTTCTTTCATAGGTATATATAGTTCTGTTTAAATAATTTTTAACAGACTGACACAAAACTCTTGTGTTGTGTTTATATAAACATTTGCATTTTGTCGATTAAATTTCTACATTATGAAAAACATAAATTTCTTTGGTTCCAGCAAGTTTTTATAAATAATCTTATAAACATTCATTAAATCATATATTTAAATATAGTTCTTAAACGAAAAAGTATATTTTTTAAATTTAAAGCAAAAGAATTCTCCACTTGAATGCGTTACACAAGCATGCATTATAGATAAATATTAATATTTGATAAAACGCAACACAAAATGGTTCAATTCCAGGGCATTGTACATGGTACTAATAAATTTAGATAAAATTAAATCGGTATAGAATACAGTTTTTGTATGTATCACCTGATATTACAACAAACCAATCTATGTAAGGTTTGTAAAATTGATTAATACCATATAATGCTTTAAGCAGTGAAACTATTAATTTGTTCAATCATTTTCTCTCACATTCACTCTTTTTCTCTCTCTTGCTTTCTCTCTCCTCTTTTTAAATTTTTCTTTTTTACATTTTCAAAAATGTTTATATGATAAATCATACTCTTATGGTAAATAAAATACAATAAATAACTGAAAGTATTCCATAACGTAGGTACTTTAAGGTTTATCAATTTGTAAAAAAGCAAATAAAGTCAAATTAAAAAGAATTTTTAAAAATGATCATGTGTCATAATAATGTATAGAATTAAAAAAAATTACAATTAATTTTTTGTAACAATTAGACTTTTGTACTAATACATAAAATTAAAATTGTATAAACCTGGAAGCACCTTATAACTTATCTTTTATCTGTTCAACATCTTTGTAACAAAAACTAACATGACAAATAATAATGTGACTTGATATCATTAAAAACAAAAAGTAAATAGAAACAATAAAAATATAAAGAAAAGAAATACATGAATGAAATAATGATATTTACTTAAAGAATGAAAATATATAGTATAAGTCTTTTTTTAGATTCCAATGTTTACTTTAATAAATACTGAATTGCCTTATTATCTTAAAACACACGATCAAATTTGATGTTCTATGAAAGTTTATATCGGAGATAGAAATGATTACGAACTGAAATTTGAAATACACCAAAAATCAAAATTATGTTAGGTGTTATGATATATAATTAGGAAAAACGAAACGATTTTGGATATTGTCATACTTAAGTTATTACCTAATGTACTTTGGCATTGAAATTTTATCAAACTTTCATTAGAAATCTTAAGATTTTCGTTATCGCGTATTTTTCAATAGTTGAAGCGAAAAAGTGAAAAATTTTTCAGCAAAAAATACATGAAACTTAGAATTAATATAATGCGCGGTATTTACATAGAAGAGAACTCCTCTCCGCATTAACATTATTTTGTTACCATTTGTAATTTTTAATAATTTCTCAGTCACAATGTTACGCAAAGTTGAGATTAATATTTCATGATTTTTTTTTTTCTTCATTTCATTTATATTTCATAGATAGAAAGTATTTTCTAAATAGTTGAAGAAGAGCATATTAATGGTGACAATTGTAAATGCTGGTATAATTATTTTAATGAGATTGCTCTCGCTTGGTTACAGTAATAATAAAAAAATGATGTAGCAATATTGCACCACAAAAGTCGCTTACAGCTGACGATTCTAAGAGATATTATCGTCCACCAGTAATAAAAATAAGTGCGTTCATTTATACGCAGTATGTTACATATAGATGTTGCTTCACAGATTATAGATTTGTTTCAATAGTTATTCACAGTGTATTTGTTAATATCAATCGATGAAATGAAGTGGCTAAGATGAAACTTAAAATAAATATTTCAAATAATTGTCAATGTCTTCTATTTTCATGGAATCAATGGAATCATTTGTATCCTTTGGACATTAAATTTTGTTATTTAAAATCTGTATTATTAAGAAGTAAGCAAAATTCTAGATTTACATACATTATCAAGGAAATAGGCACCCTTTTATATAATTTTCAATGCTGATATTCTTTAAAATAGTAATTTTGACAATAATTTTGTTAGAAATTTTAAATGGGATATTAAATTCTTAATTGTGCATTTTCTTGACTATATAACCGACCTCGATTGTTGAACTTTCTTATAAATGATGCGAGCTATTAAATATCCTTGTTTGCTCAAAATGATTGCTAATAACAGCAAAAGCATGCCTCTGTCGACAGAGGTAGTTATAAAAAGAAAATCACAGTAAAAAAAATTACATGTACAATACATAATACGGAGTACTCTTCCGTATAACTACCGTGATATTTATCACGAGACGACACATTCAAAGTATTATGTAATAGATAGTAGCTCTTAATCTTAGTGCAAAACAAGGAAACTGCGATCCGTGGATTAAAAAACAGATTAAATAAACAATGTTACTTTCTATGAAGCCAACAGAATGTATGAAGGCCCTGGTAAAAACATATTCCGTCGTGAGCTACGTAATGTATAGAGTTCCAGCCCTGCTCTAAACGTTGGTAAAGAGCTTTTGTGCTATGTATTAGGTTGATCGGAAAGTACTATCGGATTTTCCTTATGAAAAATATAAGCTGACCTTCAGCACTTATTTGCATGTGTAGTCAACTTGTATTATACCTTTATGTGGACAACAAATAGGGATGTCCTTCAATCCTTAGCATGTCTGTAGATTACGGATATACGGGTAGGCAAATTTTTAGGTCAGGTCGGGAAAAGTCGGGCAAGAATGAGCGCCCGATTTGCTACGTACAAGTGTTGGGTATCTATAAAGATTTTTTTTACATGTTTGCCATATTCTTGGTTGTTTAAAAAAATTGAGTGTATCAATGACCGTACTATGAATGTGATACGATCCATTTTAAACACTATACCGAATCGAATCCCAAGAATTCAAAAATTTTGGGATCCCAAATAGGATAATGCTTTCGGGCCGATCCCACCCGATCTTTTCCGACTAGAGTCGAGCCCGTAATCTCGGCTACCCGTATATCCCTAGTGTAGACAGAATGCATTTATGTATGTCACTATATAATCGATGAATTTCAAAATGTTAACAATACGACTGCGGTTGCGGTTAAAAATTTGTGCGAAATTTTCAGATTTGAGACTATCCTTGAACTTACAGCTCAACGATGCTTCAACAAGTTTCGGTAGAAACAATGAATAATGATTAATGAATAAACTGCATGTAATGATAACAAACTGACACTTTGTTGAAGAATCCGACACTATTTTCCGATCAACCTAATATAATCGTGTGCACTGCATACTTTGCTTTTCTTATCACGTATGGAATGTGATTCTCAATGCTGATTTCACTAAATATAAACTCCAATATACGTATTAAATAAAAAACTTTATTAATCTATTTATCACTTGTTACTTTATTTCTGCAATAAATATCATTTTCATCAAATTCACAAAATATAATACATTGAAAAAAATGATATTACGAGAAATAAAGAAAAAATTCGTAAATATAAATGCACAATATAAATGGCACAATAACGTTGTTGAAAAAAATTGTCTTGCAATATATTTTTCATTGCATAAATAAATAAGTAGAGAGTAAAAATGAAAAAAAATTTATCCAAAATTTATCCATAAATTATTGGAATAGTCAATTTGAAAACAGTCATAGAGAATCCCATTCATAAATAAAACGTTTATGTATATATTATGTATATATATCTTTTGCTTTATGTAAATATTCAATATATTAATATTTGTCGCAACATGTTTACGTAAGTTTTGTTGCTTTGTTAAGCAGGAGCTGGTGAGAGTATATGAATAGAATTCCACAAGAATTGAAACACAAAGCAATCTGCGTAGAATAAATCTGTACAGAGAGTAAAGTTAGTAAATTATACGGTAGTGGATGGCGGATGTATTGTCTGTTCACTACGCATATCAGCCAGGCAACCAAACGCTTATATGTACACTGGAGACTCCTGGCCAGTTAATAGCCTAAACATTGATGTGGGCATTGTCTTCATTAATATCTGGAACAAAACAGAATAATGAGGGGAAAATCCACATTTGGTGGAGAGGCCAAACCCACTTTAGCCGCAACCTAGTTACATCAATGGAATTAAGAATAAAATATTTCACATACTTCGCCGACGGATGTGGCAAGAAGATTGACGATCTTCTCATGCGGCACAGCAACGACACTTTGATTGTTGATCTCAATGATCCTATGACCCACTCGAACACCTCCTCTTTCGGCGATTCCTCCTCTCAACAGACTACATATTACTCCGTTCTGTACACTAAATCCTAACTGATACTTAGTGTCAGGTCTTTTGATTTTGACCTCGACCACCGGCGCACATGGAACGACAGTTAACTTGACGACTGTTTGATTTTTCGAATTCTTGATGTAAGTTTGACAAGTGGAGAGAGGTAAACCGACTAACGAGACACCATTGATGGCTATTATCTGATCACCAATGTTTAATTGTCCACAACGAGCAGCTGCACCGGCTGGTGCTAGATTTGCGATTACAACTGTTGGTAGCATAGAACCCCATCCGGATTCAACGATTACTACACCCAAAATTTCACCCTTCGCCTTTGGTACTACTACCTGTAAACATTTAATAATTGAATGTTAGGTCTCTAATTTATGTAATATATAAAAAATACAAATCTTCTTCATCGCAGTTAATTAAACATAATTTAGAATATTGTAACAAACAATGAATCACCTCTTTTTGCATTTCTTTTTTGGCGAACATTTGTAGTTCATCTCCAAATATCTCTTGAGAATTGAGCACCTCCTGGTAATCCATTTCTTTCACAAAACTATGATCTTCGATACCATTTGCTTTGAGGAACTCCATGTAAGCTACTTGAAACGCTTGTCCGATGCTTTGTGCAATAAACCGAGCCTCTTCACTTTCGAAAACGTGACAAATCATTTTTGGAGTTCTGTTGATTTTTGGTGCTTCCTCCATTTCGTGCGGTACGAATCGTCTTCGTGCCATTAGCACCACTACATCACCAATATCTGCTATGTAAGATATTGTTCTTAACGCGTGGTCCATCATGATCTCTTTAAGATCCGTATTCAGGACCATGATTTTCTCCGTCGAGATAAACAGATCAACTTCCGTACTCGGTTGCGTTTCGCCATCCGGTGCCTGTACGGACATATTATTTATTATTAATTATAAATCATTTATAAGACACAGAGAAAAAATATTATATGTAAATTTCGCAGCAATACTAAATCTGAGTTTATAAATAATATGATTTAAAAAAGGATCCAAGGGATCTAGGGAAGCCTACTTTGCTTGATACTATACAAATTAATTAGGAGCCTTTAACATTACTACTTCAAGTTTGAATGTCCTTAATTATTATTTTTCAAATAATATCCTAAATTTAAATATTCTTAATTACTATCTGAAACTGAAATATTTTTATATCATGTTTTGTAACTTAAAATTCATCTACTCATTTATATGAAACTTTTTTCATTTCATTATCATTTTTGCTTTCCTTATTTATTTACAATAGTATAGAATGTATTTAATCGTTTGTTATTAAGTTTAATTAATGCCTGTAAAAACTGCTTTCAGCTGTACTGAAATTAAAACATGTTATTATTGAAATTCTTTTCTTTCTACAATGATTTAATTCTATAATCTGTGTTTTTTTTTTTTAAGAATAAGAAATATATAAAATACAAAAATTAAAAAAAGACTTCAATATTATATAAATTATTTCAAAAAAATTTCTTAAATTATACACTGAGATATAATATTGTAATTAATTATAATATGCATCTTCAAATTAATTTTATTGCACAATTAAGTTTAAATTAGTAATGAATATTATTAAGCACTCTATAATTAAAATAATAGTGTTTTAAATATACGTACCAACGCCTATTATGACAAGCAGCATGTAGTAAAATAAAAAATGGTAATTAATTAACCGAACAAGAAAAACAACAGTGTACAGTACAAAACAATGAGAAAAAATACTGTAAATTGAAGTTTAATACATATAGAGTAAATCTAAGTTTACTGCAAGAAAAAATGTGCAACATTGAGAATGCAATTATATCAGTAAATGTAGCAAAAAATATCAGTTCTTTTTATCTGTGTTGAAAAAAAGAAACTTAAAAATATTAGTAACACGAAATGATAAAAACTTTTCGTAAACCTGAGAGTTTATCAAGAAAAACCTAATTAAATACCATGTATTATTTACTGAAAATATGTTTCATTTAAATAATTGTATCTAATCGCACTCATTTTCACTGATAACGAGTACAGATCTTTGTATAGAATATTTATTAATTCAAAAACTGTTTGTTAATTATTATTTAATTAACTTGATATTCATGACTCGATATTCCCTGTATAACATCCTGTATTTAAGAAATTGAGAAGTAGGGAGTAGCCTTCAATGTCCGCCATTGTATGCATCGGCTACTGCGGGCGGCTGTGCTGGCCATACTACTTACTGCCCAGGGTTAGTTTAGATTAAGTTATGTTAGGTTAAGCACAGCGTACCCTTCAGGTACAAGTTAGACTTCTTCTACTTAAAGGAAGGAGCCTACCACCACTTGCTTTACCGTTTGGGAGAACCCAAAGAGAATCTAGATAGAACCTAACTTAGAACCCTCTGTCTTTGCATATAAGGAGCCATATTTTTTATATGAAAACAGACCATTTGCATTCAGTTTAGGTGTTTCTTAAGAAGTGTTTCACGTGAAAACCTAACTGATCTACAACCTATTCCTGGCCTATCCATGAAATGCCTTGAACGTTCAAGGCGTCCTCTCTGAAGATAAACTAAGGGGCATAGTATTTCCTTAATATGAAACGTGATATCACATACTCGTTGTCAGTGAAAAAAGTGGAAGGGTAATGTATACATGTATAGAAATGAACGTGAAAATAAAAAAACAATGTCCGTAAAACAGATTAGAAAAATCTAAAACAACAATTAGAAATATGATACATCTAAGGGTTGGAGGGCGGACCTTGATCTTAGTCACAGCCTCCCGCACTATGTGGTTGTTAAGGCGCTTACGTCTCCCTTCCTCTTCAACTTCAACCGATCCGAGAAAGTGAAGCCTGAAAACGGTGGTGGGCTCCATAGAGCCACTGATCGGGGCCAGTTTTGGTTGGAGACCCACAGTCTGCGACTCGGACTGGCCCCCACCAGGGGTGCTCCCTATAAGTTCTTCGCTCGAGTCGCACTCATCTTCCTCGAGGCTTCCTTGCGAGGCAACGCTGCATCGACCAAAACCATGTTGCCCCCCATAGTTTAACAGCGTGGCCTGCATACCCGTAGCCACTGGCCCCTCCTTCCGTAACGTAAACAAACAAATTCTCTTGCTAATCACATTACCACGCACCACCAACAAACGCGGTAAAGAACTTTCTTTATCGATTTTTCTACGGTTTTCATAGTTTTTCAACTTTTCGTGTACTTATACCGCCGAGGGCGCTAGCCTTTCTTAAGGAAGATGCTGAACTTAACGAACTTAATTCCTAATTCGTACACACAGAACGATTAAGCCTGGAGTACTCAATAACAGTCAAAGGGTTGACTCTCGGAAGGCGGACCATGGAGAGCGTCCCAATTTTAATTTAATTTTATAAGTTTGGATCTCAGTCGACTCAAATGTTTGAGTTTGTAAATACTATATAATTTTGTTCTTATTATTTTCTATAATAAATAAAATTAACCTAGACCTAACTGACCGATATGGCATCAATCGTTTAAAATCAATTTCCTTCTAAAAGGTATATAACATTTTGCAATTATTATCTTCTATAATAGACTATAATAAATATGTATTATTAATAATTTATCATTTCAATTTTTAATATTTTCATTATTGAACTTATTACAGAGATTTAATGTATAATTCACATTAATGTTTCCATTGTATGCCGCATAGTGATGAAGTTATTGTAAACATCTTAATTTAAAAAAAAAGTGATAAATATTCCAATTGAAATAGAAAAGTTTCACCCTAATTCATGTACAATATGTGAAACACCCAGATCTATTAACATAAATGAAATACTCTTTGTCCGTTCAATGTGACTTATATTACACGCAATTTTTTATAATACACGATCGTGCAGAAAAAGAGATATAGTGCTGCGTACAATCTACGAAGCAAAGAAGGATAGACAACTATACACAAGAAAATAGTTGCGAAGGAGCCGAATAAAAAATAGTTCCTTTCAGGAAATAATACTATTACTCTCCGTTAGAAATACCTTTATCTGTTCTATCAAGAGAAATTTTATTATCCCGTTGGAAACAAAATAAGATTATTAATCGTAACATTTGATTATAAAATTATAAATAAATATTTAATAGATTAGCTTTTAATAACGTGCATGTAGAAAGATGCAATTCACTATAAAAATGGTACACTCTGTATAGTGTTGTTCTTCCGTTTCTTTTCCATATGATCTCATTGAACAGTAAACGTTAAGATGTTTTTATAGTTAGAGGAGTGATTAGAAGGACACATAGTTTGTTATTTCATATTTTATCCAGCTCCTGTTCTGAGACAAATTAACACAGAGAAACATCAAAATCACATAAGAAAATGTGTCCGCTGGTCAGGTGGTGGTGGTGGTAATAACACGAGGAAGGGGTGGCTATAGTAAAACATTCATTTTTTTTTTTCTTTTTTACGTAGCTAGGTTTATAGAACCAGCTTATTAGTATTCGAATATTTAAAAAAAGATATGTACCCTTAGAATAACTTAAATTCTATATTTGTAACAAAATGTAACAAAAATATTTTATATTCATAACTCTGAAAGTGTTTAAAATAAGTTATGCAACACTAAAATAATTGTAGAATAAAAATGTATGTTTAAACCATAGACATAGAAATAAGAGATTTAAAAGATTTTTAATATAATAAATTAATATAAATTAATTTCCATATTACATTTACTTATTTCTTTCAAATATTTATTTCCATTGTATATATTTATGAGATTAATCATTTTAATATTACACTTTTTGAATTAGATCAAATTTTAATTTTTCAAAATATTTACACTATATTAATTCGAAAATAATTGTTATTCTTTCCCGCTAAATTCCCGCCCATCACCTCTTGTGGATCAACGCACTATTCGCATCAAATGCCTATGGTTTAAACGAATTCATAATTTTTTGATAAAATTATATAATTTTGTTTAAAAGAATTAAAATTTTCTTTTTATAAAATTGCTAAGATCTTTAATTTCAGTGTTTAAAGAAAAAATCTACATAAGAAAAATTAATGGATACTTGGAGTTTCATCAGAGGCACATAAAAAGGGGTGAATCTGGATCGACAGATTTGAACGAAAATTAACGACGGAAATACGAACTCCAAATGTGATTTCAATTTCAGTTTTACGGTATTCCTAGTTTATAGAAAAAACTCTCAGGTTTAATCGAAATGTCTCAACGAGAACTTTCTCTCAATGGAACATATTTTATTGTACGTTATATAACTGATTAGTTAAGATTTTATAATTATTATGTTATAACTTAAAAAATCATATTTTTATACATGCAAGAGCGTAATATTTAGTGCAGTATATGTATATACTTATGATAGAGCCACCAAAGATACATTACACTTTCATGTAAGATCCATTTACTCATAACCAGGGGTGAATTTGGCCATCGGGAGTTTGGGAAAATTTCCGGTAGGAGTTTGGGGCCTAATTAATTAAATTTACTCGCTACAAGAAGGCTGGTTATGTCGGTAATATAGCGGTAAAAATTTAAATGCCAGTTTCTACCCCTGTGCACAACTGCCACGCTCGGGGCTTCCCCCTATATGTTTAAGTTATAGTCCTGATGTGATCTTAGTTTTAAATAAATATAATGTGAATTTGATATGCATTCAATTATGCGAATATACATAAAATAATTATTTTTATTTTTGACTAATCGACGATTAATAATACATCAAGACTACAAATTATATGAGAGAGCCCTAAACACAGTATAGTTATGTATAAATGGACCCCTAGTGTACTTACAGTGATTCGTTGAAACGATTTTTTTAATGATACATTTAAATAAAATATAATGTCTAATTCACATACAATGCATAAAAAGTATAACAGGTGTGAAGGTATAAACAATAAATGTATTGGGGAATAAAATAAATAATTAACGGCCATTGGCATAACTAGAGACTAAAGTGGGGCTGGCCTCCCCAAAAATGTGAATTGGTTCTCCCACTATTCTAAAATTCTAAGATTGTAAAAGTATACAATTTCAAAATTCTAAAATTTTAAAATTTTAAAAATCCCAGAAAAATATCCTAGTTACACCAATGTTAATGGCATTCCTTATTAAATTTTCATTTATGATCGTTCCGAAATTAGTGTGCAATGCGTTTAGTAAAGTATCCATTCCATAAATAAAATTAAAAAAACAAAATGATTTATCAATATAGTAAATAAATCATTTTTGTCTCTTCATCATTTTTACAACACACTAATATGCTTTACAGTAGGCAGATATTTTTAAATAAAAATGTAAATATTAAAAGCTGATGCATATGTTTATACACTCAACAATTGCCAAGATAAATAACCAATAATTGTATGAAATTAAAAATCATTTTATTTTTGAATGAGTAACCTGATTGATCAAACACAACTATACAGGAAGTCCCATTAGTGAAATATTTTCTTTAAGTAGCGTTTCCACAACATAATGGTTATATTGTTAAACATCTATATGTACAAACATATATGTGTTTGCAGAGCATGAAAATAAAAGGAATGCTTACACCAACGATATAAGGTCTTTACCTACAAAATTCCAAAATAAACTAAAGACCCATCATGTATTTTCTGAATGAATTGTGCAAAGGTATATGTGTCTAAAGATGAGCTATGATGATTTAAATAAAGGTAGACATAAATTTTACTGCACATACACAGCACAGAATGTTAAGTTTGATATTAGGGATGTTCCAATAATTGTGAACATCTGATTTATAAGTGTAAGAAAGTATAGAGTAAAAATATGTATCTTATTTAAATGAATTCTTTGTAAATTTCACATAAAATTAATCAGCAAAGAAACGTACATTCCAAAACCTTTTATGTACACTGTTTTGATAACTTAATCTTATAAAATAGAAAAGTTGACGAGTTTTAATATCTCATTTTATAATTCTTTATTCTTTTCCTTAAAATTCTAATTTTTTAAATATTAAAACTGGTCTGATTAATTTGATGTGGAATCTTGCTCACTGATCACAATATTAAAGGAACAAAAACATAACTATATAGGAGAAAACAAACAATAGACTGTAGGAGATAAGAAGAATGCATAAAATGCAAACATAGAATATAATAGTGATAACGTACCTTTATCCTAGACACAGCTTCTTCTGCCTGGCACATGCGAGTAGATTTTGTGGGCTCTCCCTCGCACACAAGCTGAGTAGATCCGAGGTACCTTGCTCGGAACAATACTCCTTCGATTAAAACTGAAGGATCGTCGAGAAGAGCTGAAATATATCCAGAAATGTACCATTTAAACTTAACTTTGTTGGGTGGTTGAACACTGATAAATAGTCAATTGAGACTAAAAGCAGTTTAGTTGAGAACTCTTCATATATATTTTTAATTTACAACTAGCATAAATTAAGAGCAAAATATTAATTTTTTATTAATAAACCTAACAAGTATAACATTTAAAATGGTACAATGATATTAATACTTCAAAAACAAATTTTAAAGAAATTTTAAGTGAGTTACATATTTAAAACTTAATTTAAATGAGCTTCAATTACATTTTCTATATTAGTACCTACCCATTGTATCCATTAGGAATGCAGCAAAGTGGAAAAGAAAATGAATTAGTTTATTAGCGTGCATTTATTAAATAATGCTTGTGAAAATGTAGTGTATTTACTATTTTTGCTTCTCGAATGTCATTTAATATAAGATAAAAATCATTACTATTTTAAATCACCTTTTGTTAAATAATAATTGCTAATTGTTATAAATTATTGCATGTTATAAAAATATTGATAGTATTTTAGTTGTTAATAACTAAAAAATCATAAATGTCGTGTTAGTACACAGAAAGGATAAAAAAACATCTTATTACCTTCTTTGTTTCTGCTTTTCTTCTTCTCCTCTTTTTCCTGGAACACACAAAACTCTCAATATACTTCATGTAATGAGGTAAATAGGAGTATGTCATACAATGTCATGACTACGTGCTTTCTACAAATCATATTTCATATGATCAATATAAGCTCCATTCATGCAATGAATATTTCATAGATCTAATAACATAGTAATATTAATCAATGATGATTTCTTATAGTATAATATTTAATATAAGAAACGTTAAATTAACAAAAAATTAAAAGAATAAATTATTAATTTACTTAGATATAAATTACTATTAAATTCACTTTCAAGTTTATTCTATGTATTTTAACATTATACTTTTAAAGTTGAAAGTTTATTATAAAATTATAATTCTTATATATTTTTTTTTTATTGATAACATGCTGTAATTAATAGTAAAAGAAGATTAAATACAATATACATGCATATGGTTATACCAAAGTATTAAATTTTGTATGATAACCATTTATTAATATTTTGTATTAGTAAATTAGTAAGTATTATTAAATTAGACAGCCTTATCTCGCCTAAAATAGATTATGTGGAAAGGAAGAAGAGGTGGAAACATGCAAAACTATGTTTTGTATGCTGGAAGCAAACAAGTAAAGCAATTCTACTAATTAGAAGGATTGAACTAAGGTTCTACTGCATAATGCCATTGCAATGAATTACTCTCTTTTCTCACAAACAGACGAGTTAAAAACTATTGCAACTATGTCATGTATTTTTTTTGTTCAAAACCTAAGAAGAAAAATATTGGAAAGTCATTTACATATTATATTCAATAAAACATAACAGATACTAAATTACGTACAATATCTTATGAAAAATTATCATAAAACAATATCTATTTCAATTTATCCGACATACATTCAAATTCACTGACTAAAAAAATTTATTAATTCAAAAAGTGTAAGTTAAAAAGCTTTTGTCCTGATGAAATTAATAGCATCTTGAAAGAATTCATTTTCATCTAATTGCAAACATTAAGTATACTAAGAAGGATGGGATTAAATTGGAAATGTACTATTTTAATGAGTCATACTTTAAATTGCAGAATTTAATGAACTATATAAGAAATGCCTTTTGAATAGTATGAGCCATTCCTACTATTGTATTACCTGAATTTTAAATGCGACCCATTAAAGGAATACATTTTCACTGTTGGTTCTATTCTTCAGCAATTAAAGGGAGCAGTAACAGTGTTTTGAGCAGTATCTACAGTAGCAGAAGATAGGACAAAAAGAAAAGAGGTTGATTTAATGTAATTGAAAGGGCACCTTTTTCACCTTGCTGCCAGATTCCTTGAGACTCTGAGGGGATGAGGGAGAATTTTTAACTGGAGTCTTCTGTGGACTTGACGAGGGTTGCGTGGGAGTGGTAACGTCACGATCGCAAGGTGGTGGTTGTATAACGGAAACTACTGGAGGAGGCGAAATAGAGGCAGAAGCGGAAGTGGACACACAGGCAGAGGTCGAAGCTAAAGGTTCCGAGGGTGCTAACGGGCTTTCTACCGGAGCAACACTCAGGCTTTTTGGGGGAGTTTGTTTAGGAGTTGACAGTTTTCCACTCATCGGTGGTAACATTGTCCTAGTCTTAGGCTTCCTCCACCCCTATGTAACACCAATTACATTTATCTTATGTTAGTTTGCTTACTCAATAAATACCCCTGCTCAAATTCTTTATTACCCAAGATACTTCTTATATACATTTTGTAATCACTTTTATTATTTAATCCTTTATTTGGCTTATGCTTATTTGCTTGCCTTATAATCCTGATTATTTATCTTAAAATTTACATGTTTATTTTTAAAACATATGAAAAATCTCAAATATTTGAAACATTCAACAATTATATTGCTGGCAAACATAAAAGTTGTTTTATTATACAATAAATCTACCAAACAAAGGATTAATATTTTAGGAAGAAGATCACGATCGTGTTCCTTTATAATTACAAATTCTATATATTTAATGTACTATAAGACTTAAAAATTAACTATACAAAATGAAAGCAAAGTTTATAATTATTCAAAATAAATAATACTAAATGAAAATTTAATTAATTATGATACTGAAATTTTTTAATATTTCCAATTTTGCATAAACTATAATAAAATAATGATCTTAGCTGATATATGCACATTAATTAGTTTGTATTTGGAGTTATATTTAATGTTTCTCTGTTATTTTATTTGTGAGTAATGTCATGCTTTTAAGAAGTTTTGTTAATCCTCAAAAATTGTTTTAACCCCATAGTCTACCTCAGCATACAAACACCACACCAGTGCGAATTATAATTTTGAACTTTTTATCACTAAGAACTTGAAGAGAAAAAAAAGAAAATTAAACTCGTAATATATAGTACTCTATAATACTGACATATTCAACATAGTGGAAGGAAATTGTAAGACTAGCCAGATAAAATGTCACAAATGAAACAATGTTTTGCTGGTACAAATTCGCCTAGTATGGTGTCTGAGGGTTAAGTATTATTTTAAGTGAAATATTATTGTAATGATTATATATATGTAATAATGTGTAGCATTGTTTTAAATCTTACCTTATCGTCATAAAAACCCTGATCATCTGTTCTTTGTTGTCCAAGCAAACGATCAGTTTCAAGATCAGTATCTGCCTCTTCTTCGTCTGGACCTTCCTCCACTTCAACATCCGCTTCTTCACCTGTACGTCGAACTTCCGATTCTTCACTATTATTTTCTACGCAAATTCTCCGCCTGCCATCCAATATACTAAATTTTAGTTAGATGTACTTAAACAATAATAATTGCATCTTAAATATTATTTATTTTATTGTAATATACGTTTATACATTGGTTTTAAAATGAACAACCCTATTGCAACTATGTAATGCTTTATTGCAGTTATAAACATTAGCGTAACTAAAATTTTTTTCTGGAGTGGGCCAAGCCCTGTAGCTTAAAATTTGAGAATTTTTAAATCTTAGGAGTGTAGAATTTTAGAGGTTTGAAATTTGAGAATTTTATAATTACAGAACGGTATGGGGTCCAATCCACGTGTTTTGGGAAATCAGACCCACCATAAAGTTACGCCAGTGGTTATAAAAAGCCTGTCATGCTCAGTACTGTACATCTGATAGATTGCAAATAAATAAGAATCTAAAAATATTATATATGTAAGAAAAAAGAAAGTGAAATACCTTGGTATCCAAATCGGACTAACATTAGGTTCGGGCGGTTCTTCAGTAGAAGACTTGACAGGTAAAGTTTTCGTCCTTTGTAAAGCCATCCTAATATCTTTAATAGCAGCTTCAACTTCACCACCTATTTCTAAATTAACACTTTGTCTAGCTTGTGGCGCAGGTGGTGGAGGTGTACCAAGAGGATCCAAACCATCAAGTTGCAGCTCATTTGTATCATACGAATTTTCTTTGTTAGGAACAAACAGATCAGGTGATGATGCTTTCAACGAATGTAAAATATCTTTGCTAACAGTTAAACCAGAAAGATCTTTTCCTATTGAATCTCTTTCCGTCGCAGTAGGATGACCAGTATCATTAACACGACTTCTCTGAATAATCTCCTTTTCGATCTCATTAATTTGTCGCTTCATTAGCATCACAGTTGGGTTATTATTATCAGTATCACTGGCATGTCCGCTTGATAAGCCGTCTTCAAGGACCGGCATACTAGTATATATTCTTAAGGAATCTGAATTATTTCCTAAGTCACCGACCGATCCAAGCAGACCGCTAGCCGGTATCAATTCATTATCCATCATCATTAAAGAAACTTCACTATCGAGGTCTCCACAGTTACTATCACAATCAGTCGTTTCAGGACTCAATGTAAAATTACGAGAATGCCCGACTTGTAATCCAACTTCTGTTTCGCCGAGATCTTCACTGCTCCCAGTACCTACTGAGAGGTCTAAGAAATTATTCTCATGTTCACCGCTCTGAAAAAGAATTATTTTACAATTAATATGTAAGATGAGTAACTGCCATCTAAAATAATTTAACATTTTTTTTTTTCAAACTTACGTTCTGTGGGAAATCACTTCTTTGTTTTTTAGGAGATTCATGTACCAAAACTTCTTCCGTTGTTGGTGGACCACTAGCCAATCGCTGACCAACGTAACTGCTTCCCCCTTGTCTTCTTAATTCATAATCAAGATCCTGAAATAAGAAAACAAATTTATTTATAATACGAATAAAAGACAAACTCATGTTCGATCAAAATTAATACCTGAAATGGGAAAGATTCAGTACTGTTTTCTTTCTCTTTCATCGGTGGCGGACACTTAAAAAATTCTTCAAGTACCTTTCGTGTCTCAGAAAATTCATACAAATAATCAAATGTACTACCACCGGATGATACCAAGTTACTTATGTTGTCAGTGGGCAAAGTTGATGGTTTTAAAGAATCATCTTCTTCGTCCTCGACTTTTGGAGAAGAGGCATTTACAGTTTGATCATCAGTATAATTCATATTTGTTTCTACCACAGCCTTTTCTACAATTATTTCTGCAGAAGTATCCTCCTTCTAAAAACAGAATACAGAAAAGTTTATTCACAATTATACCCTCAATTAATTGATTTTATTATTAATATAATCATCGTCGTTTTTAAATTAAAGTATACCTCATTATGACTTGGTGTTGTTGGTAATACTCTCTGGGGAAAGCCAGGTCTCGGTGTCATATATACAGATGGCGATGATAGAAGACAAGGAAGTTGAGTATCACGTACTCCATAACGTCTTGGACTTTCAGAATATTGTGCTATTGGTAATTCACCAATTACTCTTGCCACTTTGTGATTACGTTCTGAAGATGGCGAGTCAACTTCACAATCGCTAGCAGGAGTAATCACCTAAAAAAGTTGTATTTGTTTTTTAATAAGATCATCAAAAGTACTTGATATTTCAAAATTTATATCACAAAAAAATAAAAGTAAGAATACCTTAAAAAATTCTGAAGTATTACGATGATATGCCGTTGTAGGACTTGGAGTACTTCCAATGCTGGAACTCAAAGGTTCCGGAGGAATACGACCTCTTTGAGACTCTTCAGACTCCAGATTTAAATTAGTTGATGTAATTTGATTGGTATTATTAGAAGTTAAGTCTAGTCGTAAATTTTGCCAGTTATCATCAATGTCATCAAAGACAACTACTTCACCATCGCTGACGATCGCCATGCTTCTTGCTGGTGTTGTATGGTTCGATTGATAATCTATACAACTCTTTGATAATCCATAATCAAAATCTGTAGTATTTTTCGATACACCGTATTCTACATTATTGCTATTCAGAATTGAGTCATAATTAATAATATGGTTGCTGTGATTGCTCTTGGGAGAATCATAATCGAGAATAGATTTTGTTGGATTATGCAACACTGAATGTATTTCTGAAGAAAATACAGTTTCAGTTACTTCTCTGTTAGAACGTTGCTTTCTTGTATCGCCACATCTAGAAAACATTTACACAAAATAAGTTTTATTATGAAAAGAAGATGCTAGTAATTTATTATATGTATAATATATAAATAGCTTTTAAGTTACCGGCTTCTTAATTCCCATATAGTTTGAGTATTTGGTGATTTATTATTTCTTTTAACAGATAGCTTGTTATCTGTTTGAATATCTTCATTATTCAAGGAATTTGATGCAGCAAGAAAGCGTGATTTTCTTGCTGCTACTTTACCTCGACTCTGAGAAAAAACTTCTCGTCCACCAGCAATTTCTATAATTCTAAAAAAAATAATGATTGTCTAGTAATTTTATAAATATTAACACTCATTTTTGTTGTAGTATACTAAGTATACTGAAATAAAATTCATGTGCAGTTCCAAAACATTAAAATGTTAGATACGAAAAAATATTAAATTTACATTAAAAGGATACATTAAAAGGGGTTCATTTCAAACTTGAATAAAACACACAATTACTTCTTAAAAGTTCTTATATTCTGCAAAAAGAAAGTAATAAATATATATACAATAAAATAAAAAAATAGAACCTGAGTTTGTATTTTATATACATAAAATAATTCCAATCAAATTAATACTTAAAAAATACTGTAAATCAAATTTAATCATAAATAAAACTTAAAAATATTGCATTTACATTCAACTAGTAATAATATAAGAACTAATAGAAGTTACATATTATTATCATTGTTATTTAAATTAATTCAATAGACTTTTTGTTCAATTTTTCATTATACATGTATATGTAAGTACTTGCATATTAAATATCTAATATTTTACTACCTGTTTCATGTTTCTATTTTTTTTTTAGTAAAAATGTTAAGAATAGTAGCACAATACCCAAATATTATTTCTATACATACACTTAAAAGTTGGATAAAACTTTCATTTTAACAAACATATACATATTTCAGGAATATACTAATTTGCTTATTTCAGTTAAAATGATTACTGTCTATCGATAATATTTACATTTGTAAAATGATGTAAACAAAGAACATATTTAAATAGACAAGTTTCACTATAATTTCATTATAGTAAGTTACTTAATTATTACTTACACATTATTAATACATTTATTTGTTTAAAATTATATTTTTATTATAACAGTCAGTTTGTATGATTCACTTTTTTTATTAATCACAATAAATATAACTGACAATGAGAAACAAACATAATGTATCTAACCTAACATGCATTGCTACACAATGCTTATCGACTGCTCTTCGATTATGTCATTGACAAGTTTAACGATTTTTTACAAAATATGAATAAGATTTATAAGCATTAATTATAGATTAATTAATGTTCCTTGTTTACAATAGATTTTTACATAAAAAAGTGACAAAAGTAGTTATGAATTATAAATTTTTTCATTAAAAAATTTAAAAGAAAAATATTTTTGTGAAATATGTAATTAACATAAATAAAATGATAACAATTAGCATGCTGAAAAGTTTTAAAATATTGTTACTAAAATTAAAATATATTTAGGCACTACTAGAAATTATTTAATATTTCAACAATCACAAATATTTACTATATACTTTACTATTTCTTTTATATGTAATTACTGATTTGTTGGCCTCAAAATATTTTATTTTTATTTTCCAAATAATAATAAAGCCTTCATTAATCTACAATAAAATAATAAAAGAATTTACCTTGAATCCATTAGTTTATAACTACGATCACCCTTAGCAGAAGTTAAAATGTATACAGGGCTTTCCTCAGGTCCGCTATCATCCTGCTGTGAATGACTCTGATGATCACTTCCTGGGAAACTACCATATTGTTGTGCATCCTCACTGTGCCCAGAGGCAGATGAGGAACTTGAAGAAAGTGGTTTTGTGTTAAGTGTGCCAAGTGAGCTAAATGTTCCAAGTGGACCACCAACACTGCCACTGCCACCGCTGACACCAACGGATAGCTGACTCTCACCTGTGAAACCAGACACCATGCTTGCTGTCCTATAAAAAATAGATGTTCAAAGTTACCCTTTATATTCAGATTTTACCTTAAATGATTTGCAAAAGCATTAATTATATCCCTTAGATGTATCTATTATACTAGTTTGAATATTTTAATACACAACAATTAAATAGTTTAATAAGATTTTAAATTAATATTTGAAAAGTAACATTCCTAAGATGTAAAGAAAATTCTAATACAAAAGTTTCTTGACTGTTTATTTACCATTAGTACTTGAAGTTAAATAAATAAATAAAATAATAAAGTAATTTTTATTTAATATATGGTTCAATGATCTATGAATCAATGTAAATTTACCTATCAGAGATATCACGCTCTAAGTCGATCATGTCTTCCGGTATCGCGTGAAAGTGCGTCGAATGGGTGTTCTTGGAGGCGATTGCAAGGGTGGTCGTGAGAGTGTTTGCGAACGTAGTTGCAAGTGTACTCGTGAGGCTGGTGGTAACAGAGACGGCCTCCTTCTGACAGAGGCTCTCATGCGGCTGACTGATCTGCGTGGAGGCCCCCGGACTCGGGGGTGGGCCACCCCTAGGCCGACATTTCGGAAAAAGTCGGTTCAAGTCTGCGTTTTCCAAGATCAGGCTTGTCATCGCCACTCCACGTTCATTTCTCTTAACAGCTTGTCCATTCTAAAACATATAGAGAAAAGAAAATAATATAAAAACACCTTCTTATCATTGTTGACTATCTAATACATTGACTATTACAGTAGAGATAGCTACAGGTAGTACAGTACACAATAACATAACATTTGATCTCAGTCTTAATTTTATATTTTAAATTATTAAATGTTGTTTTAATTTATAACAAACTTCATAAGAAAAATACGTTTAATATGATGAAACAGATTTAAAAAATTTAATCATGTGCGTTAACTGTAATATTCTTATCATGGTACTGCAAATACTTATAAAGTTGGATAGTCCTAAAATAAATATAAACTTGTACCCGAGTTATTGATTAATTTATTGATACTCCAATATACGCATCGTAAGTGGTATTTTAAGTACATAACACCGCCCACTTGATTTCATTTTTTAATAATATAAAAAATTGTTTTACGAAGAATATGCATAATTTCTGCTAACACGTTTCACATGAATACTAATATAGGTCGCTCATACCATTCTTCCTGTTCTTTACAGTGTAACAGATATTTCAATCACTTAGACTTTACGTTATTTATAAAATAAAGATATTTTGCTATATTACACGTATAGTTGCATATATAATTTTTAAAATGTAAACACGACGTTTAATTTACTTAAAGGTACTTATATCCAACGAAATTTAAACTATTATTAATAGAATCATACATTTTCATACCTCATTCAACAAAAATATATTAATTTAAATGCATACACTCGATAGCAAATGTGAATATCGATGTGCTACTATCGATTATCGATAAGTTATCGATATCTTATTGATACTTTACGATATATCAATAATATCGTCCAGTTAACAGCAGTGACAAGTAGAAGATTAAAACGCGCAATTTTATTATTCAGATTTATTTATTTTTGTTTGAACTTTAAACTAATCTAACACTTAATTCTATTTGAAATCCAAATAGGTATTTGTTTCAAGATGGTTATGGAAAAGTTCTTGCTTTAACTTAAAACAAGAATAAATTGATTTAAATAAAATAACACGTTATATTCTACTTGAATCACCCCATTCGAACTATCAATAACATTTGAATATTGTCGATATCGGTAACTTCATCGATAGCAGCATCTAACGATACATAACCTATAAATTTAAACATGTAACAAAATATATAAAAAAAAAATACAAACAATAAAAAAGAAACGTGCCAGAAATACTGATAGAAATGAATGTATAAAATAATAGAATATTTATATTGACAAAAAAAGGGAATCTGGGAAAAAAGGGTAACAAACACTGAATAGAGAGAAAAAAGGAAAAAGGTTTTCCTCGAAATGAAGACAACGAAACAAAGACAAAAAGAGGAAAGTATTGCGGATTTGAGGAAAATATGAAGACAGTAACAGAAGAAACATAAAGAAAAGAAGATGAAAGACGAGAAAGTGTGTACAGGGCGAAAGAGAGGACGAGGGTTTGGCCCGTGCTTCGTTGAGCGTGGAATCAATAGAAGGTCACTGGCATCAGTAGATACAATCGGCACATTTTAAGTCTACCTTAGTGTTGCACAGTTTGTTACTGTATTGAACCAGCTTTCCTTTGTGATTAATTTGAAAAATATCTATATACTTTATTATTCTAACTCATATACCGCGTATATCAACGCTTCCCTGCTTCGCTTTCTCCCTACTTCTTCCCCAATCCCACTTTTTAGTTTTATTTTTTACATTTACTTTTTTACATTTACAAGATATTTACTTAACTGCAAAATATTAAGATAAAATTTAATTAACCAAATACAAGAAAAGTTTTTTAATCTTAATTAATCTTTAATAATACTTAGCAGCCACATATTTTATGTAATCAATAGCTTTTATAATTTCTTTTTATATTGAAAAAAAATTTAGGAGAAAATGATGTCTGAAAATTTTAAACAGTTTTATAATTAGTATTCATAGTTTAAAATAAAAAACGGATTAAAAATTATGACAAAAATAACAATTTCCTGCTACATCGAACGGAAAAAAGGAGCAATAATATAATTTAATAAATGTACATACAACTGTGAAATGTATTTCCCCGTTCGCTTAATCCCTTTCACGATAGATTATAGATACACGTGTGAACTTTTAATGGCCTAACTTTCGGGGATCTAGTATAATATGGACCATCCATAATGTAGTATTCCAAATTTCCCCACTTTTGGTAACTTAGGCTTACGGTATAGTGTCACGAATATGCGTGCTTTCCGCTTTCCAGATGTTTAGTTTTGGTACATCAACGGCGAAATAAATAAAAATGCCGTAAATAATTCTGTACATTATTTGATAAGTAAGTAATAATATTAGCATGATACTAAATATACTTAGGTTAGCACTGTATTTCTTTAACTATGAGGTAGTAGAAAATTGAATTACTCGAATGTTAATGTAAATAGATACAGTTTGAGTATTGTAACAAAATTATGAAAATTAAGATAAAAAAATTTGTTATTTTTATTCTATATATTTGTATGTAATTTCATTGTTTACATAAGCTTTTCAAAGAGGTGTAACTATTTTTATAAATTATTATTTTTTATTGGTAGCTTGTTGAGAAACTATTTTGATCTGAAAGATTATTTTTATACAATTTGTACAGATTTGAAAGGAATTTTTTTCTATGGAAAATACAGACGAATTCTGACCTACTTTAACTTTATACTGGGTCAAAATGACCCTACATTCGGCATGCGAAAGTTAAGATTAAATTTAAACTTTAAATCATACATTAGGTCAGTAAAGGTTAATTAACCTTCATACATCGAATATCGGGTCATTTTAACCCAGTACATATACCGGGTCAAAATAATTCTCCAATTGGTATGCTAAAGTTGAATAAAATAATAGAAATTGATAAAACAAAAGTTCCGTAAATGTTCCGTTTATAGTATGTTTGAGCTATAAGTCTCAGCTGATAGAATCGAGATGTAATATATTATTTAAAATCCAATCCTTTTTTATAGCATTATTTATTAATATTTTTTGTGTTAAATTTGGCAGTTAACTTTGACACGCTTGTATTATATTACGCCGAAATTATATTAACTTTTCAAAGATCATGGACCAACAATTGAAAAACATGTTCTACTTTTATCAATGCTACCCTTCAGAAAGATTGATTTTTCAAATAAATATGTATTCGAAAGACTATCGAAATTATTAAAAAAAGAAAGAATCATTTATTTTATACAATTTGTATCAAGTAAAGAAAATGGTACATGAACCTATTTGTAATTGAATCTATTTCAAAATTACAGCATCATGAATATAACAAGCCCTTATTCTCATTATCCGAATAAGAACTACGTATCGTCTGTCTGACTCATATTTTAAGGGACAGGATCGAATTTATCCCTTTCAACTACAGAGGAATCGATCGTATGATTTTACGTCTAATTCAGATTCATAGAACAAGTACAAGATTCTTCTTTTTCTTCTCTTAAATCAATTGTAAGCTTATAAAAATTATAGGAAATTCGAATCAAATAGAAATTTTAGGAAAAAAGAAATGGAATAAGGGCTTTGGCTGTAAGCGTCTTTCTGTCCAGAGATTTCGAGGGTGAGTCGACCTCTTTGAACGTCAAAGTGGTACATTTTTCACCCAAATTTACTACACGCAGAATGAATATACATGAAAAGACAGGTTTCGATTAGGACAGAAAGGTGAAATAATGTAATCGAGCCTTTTATCGGAGTTTCATATCGTATCACGACTTGTGAGAAAGAGGAATCGATCCAACACGTTAACGCGTGCTGGCATCGAGGATGGCAGCCACCCGACCAAAGTATGCCAGAAAAATATGTTTGGTTATTACGTCTAAATTACCTTTTTGTATCCGTTCTGAAGCGTGCACTGGTCACTTTAGTTATAACACGAAACACTGAATCAAATTGTCACACGAAATGTCGCCAATAATCTGGTAATCAGAACGCGAGAACACGGGTCTTCCGTGAGGATAGTCAGGCACTGAGGGACTAGATGGCGCCCGCACTTGTACACCACCCTTAGCGTCGAATTTTCCTTCAACCCCCTTCACCGCCACTAACATTGTTCACTATTTTCGTCTAGAGGGCTGATCGTGTGATTCTAATCAAGCTACCGAAAGTCAGCGCCAGCTTCTAAATGCGTCAAATTCTTTATGCCAGACAATTGCGAAGCTTTTCCTCGATTAGATCGTTAAGAGACGTATTAAAGCAAAGAACTGTTATAAAAACTATCAGTCTTAGGAAACAAGAGATTCGTTATATTAAATAATGTTTAATGAGATGTGGGTAGGGGGCCAATTCACATTCTGAAAGAAGGATGGGGGTCCAGGCTCATCTTGGTCTTTACTTAATTACGACAATGGATAAAGTATTATAATTATTATAAATTAAAATTCAGCACACAAGAAATTTTAATTATGGATAGATAATGAATAATTGATTCCTAAACAATTGAAAATATGTCTAAAAAACTCATAAAATATACATTAAATAGAAGAAAAATGATTATGGTTGTGATTTGTTTTGTAAATATGTCTTAATTAAAAACAGTTATTGAACAATACATATTTAAGTAATAAGAATTATTAAAAATCATACAAGCATACAAATTATAACTAATGAAAAACTTAACTTTCACTTAAATGAAAAACTAACAAAAATTTATGTAAATGTAAATGACATAATTTCGTTACACCGTTTCTGAGGTCTACTTTGCTAATAAATATTTTTATTCAAAAACATGTAGCATACGGATATAATATCTTACTTCATACCATGATATTTTATTTCCAATAATTATAAAAGAACCTTAATAGAACATATATTTGGTGTACATAGAAATATATATCACTTATTTTTGTCAAAAAGTTGGGAAAACGCCATTTGCTAATAACGTACCTATATTACTTCGTTTCACCGAAGATCATACTTTTCAAACGACGAGTTTTTGTTCATTCTGCGCACATTAACTTTGATTGGTTGTAACCAAGATCAACGCGCATGCGCCTTCACAATGTTCGTAATGCTGAACATATATACCCAATGAACAAAAATCGTGAATTTTGAGTTTAATAAGTTTTCGGTTGTATAACGCTTCCTTTCAAATCTATTTCTTTAAATTTTATTGCAATTCTTGAATTATAACAACTTCCGTTACTCGTTTGTCAAATAATTTTCCGGTAGATCATTACTATATTTTTATATAAACCGTTCACAAGCCAAAGTGATTAACTTGGTTTTTTCTTTTAATTTCAGTGCTAAGGCACTTAATTAATGCTTAATTTTTATATGCAAATAGCTTAAAAAATTGAATATATAATATTTCTATTTTTTTGTATTCTTCCTCCATTTCTCTTCTTGTTATTTACATATTTTTGTCCACCGTATATATGATCAACCGAGCAGAATAAAGGTAGTAGAGAGGGGTAACATAAGGCAGGGAAGAGCTTTCTGAACTTAGCCGAGTTGCGCAAATTAAGTACGTTCTTTCGTGGATCGAAATAATAATAACTATAGTATACTAACAAATATAGAATATATTTTATCTATATTCCTGGAGTATACCTCGCTCTTGATATTGCGACGTTTAATAGAGGTTAGTTATTTGCTATTTGTTTTTCTTAATTAATATGTTATTTAACTACGACTATTATTCGTAATAAAAAATTTAATGAAAAAAAGTTATATTGTATTTGACTTAGAGAATAAAATTTATAAGGTAAATTAAGAAATACATTACTTACAATAATTGAAGTTTCTATTCCTGTTCCATTCCTTTATGTTCTAGGATTAAAATTTATTAATTCAGAATGGTTTGTGAAAAGTGTGAGAAAAAACTGGGAAAGGTAATCACACCAGATCCATGGAAAAGCGGTGCTAGGAATACGGTGGAAAGCGGAGGACGTAAAGTTGGTGAAAATAAAGCTCTTTCTGCAGGAAAAGCAAGATTTAATCCATATACTGCTAAGTTTGAGACTTGCAGAATATGTAGACAAAAAGTACATCAAGTGGGATCACATTATTGTCAATCATGTGCGTATAAGAAAGCTATATGTGCAATGTGTGGTAAAAAATTAATGAGTACAAAGAATTATAAACAGTCTGCTACTTAGAGGATGAACATTTATTTCTGAATACATCTTATAATATTTATAAGACCTCAATTAGTTAATATTAAGGACAAATGCATAAAGGAATTTACCTTATGTAATTAAAAAGAAAACTAGTTTTTTTTTATTTAGTGAAATAAAAGCTGTAAATATGTAAAATGATGAATAGTTTGTATTAACAAGTTGATTCCCATGGTGATCATTGATAATCAATGCTACAAATTTTATATCATCAAAAAATAATTAGTAAAAAAGAGGGCAAACTTTGAGTAACGTTAGTATTATACTAATAATGCAAGGTTCCAGTGTAAAAGCTTACATTTTATGAAAATGAACCAATTGTATGTATAGGTATGGGTTTTTTACTGTGGCAGTCAACGTGTTAAATAATATTTGAACTACTTGAATATAATAATAAAGATAAAAGTATAAAGCTCAACTACATTATTAAAGGATTAAAATGCTTTAAATTGAGAGTATTAATAAAATATATTTACAACATTTTACATACATACATTAGAAAACAAAATTTTAAACACTTTCTCATTTTATAAAAAAAAAATGAATTTAAGTACAAAAACCGATCGTAATACATATGTATTGTATTCTTAATTATTATATTCATTTCGATTAGTATAAATGTACGTATATTTTTATTAAATTTTTAGTGTTAATTATTTAAATTTTATAATGATATTTTATATTTAATTACTTCCATAAAATCGTACACTCCATTATACAACAAAAATCAACAATACAGAACAGTATGAAGTGGATAGAAATAATAATGTACAAAGAAATAAATTGAAAAGTTTAATACAACATTATTCAATGTATAGATTGGTATGAAATTTCCTCAGATATATTGTCAATGATTTCGCACTGGCTGAACAATACTAAGGATTTACATTTGTTATACATGTTATTTTGAATACATTCTCTTATTGTAATACATTTCTAACATTTTTAAAGCATTGAATTGAGCTCTTTTTTTCTCATAAAGTGTAATTTAAAATCACGTAACATTTAAATACACAACCCAAACATACATGTTACATATCATTTGGATGTATATTAAATCCTATTTTTGCTTAATTACTAAAATTTATTAGAATTTAAAAATGTTACTTAAGTGTTTAGTAGTGTTAAACAGTTTAAGAAAGTTTTCAGTTTAAAATAAATTTCTTTTCCATAATCCTCTTGGAACTAAATCATTTATAAGTAAAATATATTTGTAACTGGCCTCTATTTACAATGAAAAACATTTTAAATCGTACATTTTTCTGTTCTGAAAATGTACACACGTATATGTTTTAATTAATGAAATTGCACTTGAATTCTTTAAAAATTTATGATTAATAAAATGACTTATTCTAATTATATGCATTATAGTATTTACATAACTGTAAATTTATTTATAAATCAATTTTAGAATATAATTTTCGTTGCTAATAACAATCTATAGAATATCAAAATAGCAATTCTTATTGTTTACGTGATTTTTTTGTTGTAAAATTGGATGATATAACTATTTATATAACTTATACAAATATTCATTTCTTTTTTCTTCTTTAACAATTATATTGAACTGTGCACACAGCCTTACGAATAGACGAAATGCACACAGGGTGTTTCTAAAATAAGTTATCGAAAGAAAAAAGGACTAGGAAGAGCACCCATTTTAATATTCTATCCTGTTGATTAACTGGAACTTTCTTACAATTTTATTACAAGAAACAACAATTTGACATAACATTTTAGTCTTTTGTAATGTAACAATTTGAATGCATAAAATTATGTATTTCGTTATTTTTTCATTTTAAACATCGATGAAAACATAATAAAATAGATATTTCATTTGCACTCTCTATTAGTAATTTTGATTGTATAATTATTACATTAAACAAATTTTTTTTTGAGATAAAATATTAAGATTCATTTTTTTCGAAAGAAACCAGCTCTAAGTAAACGGAATGTTCTCTCAAAATTCGATAACCTATTTTGAAATTATCCTATATACACACGTATAATTTAACGTTTCGTTATTTTTCAGCATTTTTCCTCGATAAAAATTTATTCTACTAATAATAAGAATATAACGGACGGATTCAATAATGCGAAATACATGTACAGAATCTTTAATTCCTTAAAAATATATCAATGAAATGCGGGAAAATTTATAATTGTATAGGGTGCTTCATAACATGTGGTACTCATTTCTATAGATAATGAAGGACATTTGATATAATTATGAGAAAATGAGAAATGAGAATAATTTTCAAATGAGAAAATGGCAGAGATGCATTTGGTACATAGACTTCTCAAACGTTTTCTTAGTAAACGTCTGCCATAAAAAGATTGCCCAGAAGTTCAAATCAGCCAAATTTCACAATTCTGAGATTCTAAAATTCTAAAATTTAAAATTAAGATTTATACAACTACATTCATATTTTAGTCATAAATTCATAAATGTCCACAATCTATAGAAACATTTATCATGGATTTTGTATCCTTTCTCTATTATTAAAGTAATTCCCAGATGTTAGAAAACATCCTACATATACCGCAGTTCACCAGAGTCCATAAGTGCGACGCGCAGGTTGGGAGATGGTGGGGGAACGCAGCGAGCTCTCTGCTAATCGCTTTCCACTTCATTTGGGAGTATCGCCAATCAGGGCCAAGATGCGCACTGGAGAAGCGCAAAGAACGAAAACTGGTCTTTTCGCAGTTATGGACTCTGGTGAACTGCGGTATACATATACATTATTTTTATTGGATTCTTTAACAATGAATTATTAGTACAGAGAGTAACATGAGGTAAAGATATTTTTCTTGTTTTTCTTATTTTCCCTTTTAAAATATTGTTAATTTTCTGCATGTTAATGTTTGATAGAAAAGAAGATATAGAAAACAGATAAACATTTTTTATTAGATTATAATTATAACATTTCTATTCTAAAAGCATTTCATTAAGAAATATAACATACTATTAAAAAGGTAAACATATGTTATTCTTTATTTTCTAATATAGAAAATCTAATAGAATACTCAATAGAGCAAAAAATTGTGTATCCCCTTTCCTATAAAATGCACCTATATTAATAAAAATTTTGCCTGTTATTTTTTAACATATAAAATAATTTTAAAATCTATATAAGAATTACAAAATGTTATTTGGCACTTGTATTTATCTTTTTCAAAATTATTTATGATAAAACGGTTTCATAATATGTATATTATATTTTATATAGGATGTCCAAAAATTACGTATTATCCAAAAACACATATTTTAATTTTAATTATGACTTTGACGTATTTCAAGTGTTTATTAATATGTTCATTTTATTAATGTTCCCTGTTACCTTATAAGAAGTTAAAAGTTATGTCATTAATTATTTACTCACATCTTATATAAATATAGTGAGTATGTTAATAAAACGATTCAAATATTTTACAATATTTTATACGATGCGACAACATTTTATAGCATCATTTCATATTTTACTTTTCCCCATGTTACTCTGTCACTGTCAACTTTTCATTAATGAGCAACACAACAAAATTTCAAACAATTTGAATAACTTTTGTACACCCTTTTATCTCGCACTGAGTTGGTGTCGATCAAGTTGTTTGAGTATCACGTAATACCAAGAATCATATAACATCGTCAATAATCGTTAATATTAATTTTTTAATATGTACAATACGCTAATTTTGATTGCAATGAAATATATGCTTTGATTTCGATTTCCTTTTAAGATTAAACATATGAATTAAACCATTTAATTTATTTAACACCATTGCACTTTCAGTTTATAATATAGATAATTATTATTAATTTGCTTATAGACGTCATAAAAATAAAACATTCAAAATGTTATTAACTCTTGATTCTTCTTGTAATGTAATAAATATTAATATAAACAATCTTTACTGTTAGATAATACTTGCTTTGTATCTTTATTTGTGTGAATTTGTGGTTAAGTAATTAATTTCCCGCTCAATTGTCTAATTGTAAGGCTTAAATATGATGCTACGGAATTCATTTGTACCGAAGCGGCAGATTTGTTTTGGCATAGAAAATTTATCATTTTTGATACACCTTGTACAGTGTATCAAGCAGAGTAAGCTTCCTCGTGGAAAATAACGATGTAAAGGAGGAGGCCCCATATACATATATATAGATATTTATTAATTAAACATTATATTATTTTATTTTTAAATCACTTTTAATATTAATATCGTAAAATTTAAGATTCTAAGAATTCTTACTTTTCCTATATTGCCATTTTCTCTAAAAAAGCCTACTCTACTTGATACTATATGTACAATTAAATTCAGTGTTTATTTAATATTAAAAACACTGTTGTAAATGTATGATTCTTGATATGTATGATACTTTCTAATACTGCACTACCTTATAAAGATGCAAGTCACATATATAATACAAGATTCTAATTGTAACAATTTTTAAAACAAGAAGAACGTTGTAAAATAAATACACTTTACTTACAACAACAAACACCTTTATCAAAAGATTGAACAAAACGTGTTTTTAAACAAGAGCCAGTCTTTTCAGAGAATCAGTGAAGATACTAAATAAAATTTGTTTTTTTTTCTTTCGACTAGTTTAAGAGCAGATCTATTCAAGCTGAGCATAATACAAATAGCGATCGACATCTGCTTCATCCATGCGACAAAAGTTAAGTACAGTATGTTATAATTGTTCTTTAATTTCATAATATTAAAATTTCTATTGCTGGTTCTAATATTCTTTTCCTTGAAGATTTCTTTACAGTTAATGATGAACAATATGATATTGATTTGTATTAAGTTGTTGCATATGACCAATTTTGAAACATCGAAAATTTAGTAGGTAATTTTGTTACTGGCATATCAATCCTAAGTTTAAAATTTAATGAAAAATACTACATATAAACAGCTTTATAGCTTACGTTAGTATTATCCATTAGCAAATATTCAGAATATAAGAAATATTTTATTCCTGTACTGGTAATGTTTTCATATTGAACATGGCTTACACCTGAACATTGGTGTAACTAGATAGAGCTAAATTCTAAAATACCAAAATTATTGAATTTGAAGCTCCTAAAATTCTAGAATCCCAACATTCTACAATTCTAAAATTCTAGTTATGTTACACCAATGCACCTGGAATATCTTAAAATGAACCATTCAGTATGCAACAACTTAATAGTTTGTCATAATTAAACTTACTCATTTTATGACACTCATCGTTATTCCAGTGGTAAAAAGATGCATTAAAGAATCATACATTAAATATCTGAAAGCATTACTGATTACTTCTAATTCACTGGTAGATCATTCTCATCGATTCTGTTGTTTTTCCTCTAAATGCGTCCACTGATCATGTTTTTGTGGGCTAGCATCTGATTGTTTGATCTCTTGACTCACGTCTGAACCATCTGATTCTTTAGCTTCGTTTGATTTATATTCAGAAACATAAATAACTTGTTTCTCAACATTTCCTTTTTTATTGGATTTCATAATGTCGGTTCGCCTAGGAGGAACAGGAGGCTTCTTAGAAGCAGCCTTACCGTTTGAAACCGTTTTCAATTCATTCTGCGCCAACCTGTTCTCTTTACTTTCTTTCGTTTCGTCGTTCCCATCCTCTTGTAGCTTTCCACCATTAGCAGAGAGTTTGATTTCCGTGATGTAAGTCATCTTTTGCGGCATCGGTGTGCTAGGTAACGGAGGTCGATGATCAAAGTCCTGCGCACTGTAATCCATCGACTCGCCAACCAACCCGCTGTCCTCACTGTTCTCACCACTGGACACACTGATATTATTTATATTACGCCGGTCCTCGCGATCGAACAAACTTTTATTGCTTATCGTCACACCAGAACCAAACTCGTACTCGTCCTCATCTTCATCGTTCTCCCTATTTATTCTCTGATTGGTGGAAATTTCGATCACTCGTCTGGACTTCAATCTTTCCTCATCTTTCAAAGTTGCACCAGAAGTGTAGGACATCGAGTTTGATTCTTCCTCGTTATTGCCTTTCGTCGAGTCTGAATCTTGCAAAGGTATCGGTGTGGATGACCTTTTTGTAGAATAAGATTTTTTTTGACAATTGTCATGACGATTTCCATTATCCTCGCACGCAGGACATACTCTTGTGACGTGAACCTTTGTCATAGGTTCTTCCTCAACCATTTTCTTACCCACATATGAAATTTTACTATTCGATAATTCATGCTTAGAAGATTCTGGGAAGGTTGAAGGTTTCTCTGAAGACATTTCAAAATGCTTCAAAACTTTACTGAACTCTGTATTTATTACTTTATCATCTTCATCTGATAACTGTTGATCCACTGGTATACTATCATTATTAAGGTCTTCAGGTAAGGATGCTTCCTGTTTGAACTGTAATTCTAGTTCTTCCAAAGTAGGACTTTTGATGACAGTACCATCATTAACAATTCTAGCCAATGAATTGTCTTCATCTGGATTGAACATTCTCTCGGTATGAATAAATTCTTCTGTAAGTCGTTTACTTAGAGGAAGATTGTAAAGTTCAATGCTAGTTTCATCGTCTTTTTTTTCATCAGAGGTGTCATCTTTTAATTGAATTTCTACAGAAGATTTGGGTCGTTCGTTGCTTTTCTTTCTAATTCTTGATTTCTTTGATTTTTCTTCTCCGTCTTGTTTCTTACGCCAAACGTTCTCTAGGGTACCCCATTCGTTAGATTTTTTTAGTAACCGTCTATCAAAGGTGTCCATTTGATCAAGTTTAGTTAGATCTTCTGTAGACTCATTGATATCTTCCGGTGGAAGTGGTGCTTTGCGCTTTTTTGTGCCTGTGTCCGTCATGTCAAGACTTTGTGCTCTTTCAAGAGTTGCTGATGTCTTGCATTCGTACTTGGACAGATCTCCTAAACTTGCCGCCTTTCTATAAACATCATCTTCGTCATCTTCGTCATCGTTCGTCTCAGGTACAGGTGTCTGATGAATAGTAATGTTAGTAGAATTTAATTCAATGGTCGTAAAGCTATTTTGTATCTCACTATCAGTGTCAGATTCAGAATGTCTTCCATCGATTATCAAGGTCTCCATTTTTTGTTCTCCATGTGTTTCTGTATTTTCACGTACTTTGTTTACATAATCTGATAAAGATTCTGTAAAATCGCTGATGCTATTAATTTCATACTCTTTCTTCATAACAGAATCCTTCTTCACTGTAATTTGTTCAGCCTCCAAATTGCTCGTTGGAGGTGGTGGAGCTTTTCTTTTATTCTTCTGCTGATTCTTTGAATCTTCAGTTTCTACTGACTCAATGTCTTTTTGAGCATTCAACAGTTCAGAGCTGTTTTTTCTGTTCCTTCGAGCAGCCATGGCTGCATTATGCACTTCCGCAGGTACTTCCTGTGGAATATGAATTGTAGCATCTCCACTTTTTTTACCTTTATCTAAAGTGTCTACACTGCACATATCAAAAAGATCCGTTTTCTCCTTGGGTCTACTTAATACTTGGGAATTTTGTTGTCGTTGAGCTTCTTCCTTTTTATCACTTTTACTTGTGTTGGATAAATATTTTTCTTTGTCTAATTTCTTTGAGTGTCTTCTTTCTAGGTTTGTATTATGCTCATTTTGATTTTCAATGCGATGAACAGTTCCGTCCAGAGCAGGTAGAACCTTAATACCAAATTTATGGTGATTACTCTTTGACTCTTCGTGCCGTTTCTCAAATGGTTGTTTGCCAGGCGTAGATTTGGAAGATTTTAAAGTTGAATTCATAGTTGAGTAATTGGAACTGATGGATTCGTTTGGGTCTACTATGAATAATCTTTTTGCAACGCTCTTTGATTGGGAGAGTTCTGGGATTGATTGACTTCTATACAAAGGGTGGCAAATTCTTGCTGCGCTTGGACCAACGCTTTTCTTCAAAAGAGTGGTCGGTTTTGATCCAATCCCACCGCTTTCTACTTCAAGCTTTACGTCATATGGCGAAGCGTAACTTAAGATCGTTAAGGCGTCTTCGTACACCATATTTCGAAAACTGATTTTCACACTGGCTATGCGGTCACCTGTAAATATACAAATTACAGTTTCTTTTTACGTTATGCTGTATAGTACTGATGAATACATAAAAAAAAGAAAAATAAGAGATTGATTGTAATACAGTTAAATGGAATTAACATAGTAATTACTAACCAGGATGTATTTTCCCAGATTCCGATGCAGGTCCACGATGTAGGAGGTCTTTAACGAAAATTCCTTCTCTCATATTACCACAAATATTAAATCCCAGTCCTGTGAAATCTCGGCTTTTCAAGTTAACTTCGCTGATTCTTGTAGCTTTTGGCTGCACAAAAAAATTATTAATTAATAATATAGTATTAGTATTAGTATTAGTACTTTACCAATGCCAATACTATGCTCTTTCTTATTCTACTAATACTGATACTATACTACACTAACTAAAAATATTATATTGAACGAAATAAATATTTTCGAAATGAAACTTTATAATTCGACTCATACACTGTGGACTTCCTCTTCGTCAAGAAACATAAGGACACGTATCACAAATGGCTAGCTTAACTGTTCATGCAACCAAATTTGGTCGTGAACAATACACGGTGCGTTTTGAATGTTGAAACGTATAATTTATAATCATTGGGGATTTCTTTTAAGGAAAACATTTCTGTAAAGTTCACACGTACTTAACACCCGCACGAGTGTTGGTAGATTTTTTCAAACTCAGAAATCAATTTTTTCCCCTGACTTTTTTATAACACTCGAATCTCTATTTTTCCTGTATATTTTATCATTAATTGTATTTTATTAATTTTTTCTTTAAATATCAGATTCTTATAATAAGTCTTTAATCTTTAAACAAATCTATCATAAGCCAAGTCAGCTGTTACTTCTTAATATCAATGATTAATCTTTCTGTATTTGAAACAGGTATCCAAGATCACCTATACAAAGTAAAAATTATAATTAAATAAATGTTAGATTTGTAAGACCTGGGTCTAAAGAAACCGGGCAATAATCTACAAGTATTAATACATATGATAATTTCAGAATTGTATAAAATTTCAAAAAAGAACAATGAGAAAGGACTTACTCCGAGACAGGAATCGTCGAGAGTTTTTCGCTTATCATTGCGGTTAGTTGAACCAAGTCCCAAGGATGTCCAAGAAGTAGACCATCGTGCAGAATCTTTACCTGGGGTATCCCCAGATGCCATAGATATCGCCCCTTCTCGTGTTCGGTTAGTTGGAGATGTTGTGACATCCTTGAAACAAGGATTGTCGAACGCATATGCCTCCTCGACGATTTCTGGGTCTGTCACCAGTACCAAGTGTTTTCCTGAAAATATTTATTCGCTGTTATTACATTAATTAAAACGTGAACATTTTTAATTTTTAAATTTAAAATAATTATACCACTCGCTAAACAATAAAATTATTTCATAAATAATACATGTAAATACATGAATTATAAGTTAATTTCCATTTAAAGAATATCTACAATATTTCATTTATTTCAACGCACTGAAAAAGTGATGTAACGAAGTGTTAAAGTGTAATACCTAAAAATAATTTAACATGGTTAATAACACTTTTCATAGTTATTCATGCTTATTTGAAATCCTTGTGGTTCGTTTATGCTAGTTACTGCTTGAATCGTCTGATTCCGCTTACTTGTGCCCATTTAAGTTCATTTATTATGCGCAGACGAATGTTAATAAGTGTTAAGAAAGTTTAAATCCAAAATGATGGAAAGAACACGGAGATTTTCGTGTTAACACTAATGTAACATTTTACTACATAAATTAACTATTCTGTATTTTAATTATATGAAATTTTAAATTTTTTGAAACTTTAAGAAAAATAATCTAATCTGAAACTAATATTTCAGACGTGTTATTTTTCTTCACCTGTAATTTATATCGTGCAAATGGTGATATCATCATACGAATTTATACTTATTTAGTCTGTTTAGCATATTCATATATATGTACATGTGATATGTTTTAGCACCCATCCCAAGAAATATGCATTTCAATATTAATTCCAAAGTGTATTCAATATTACATTTTGAGTGTAAATAATTGTTTATCTTTTTACAGTAATATTTTAATTAATTTTAATACGTTAATTGCTACAATAAGTGTGGTCATAAAAAATAATTAGTAAGGATATCGTCATTTAATTTTTTAAATATTTCGTATAATTAATTATGATAATGATTATGATAATGATTATTTTTAACACATTTACTTCACTCATTCATTCTAAGCACCTGGATACTGTACCAGTGTTATTTCCTTATCGTTGTAATATTTACTTCCTATTATCTATTTTCTATTTCACGAGATAACAACTTATGTCAATTAACGAAAACCTCGTGGTACGTATTAGTGACATTTCGAAATACTGATTATATAAAAGAACAAGCACGATTTTTTGTATTAGAAACAAAAGTTCATGCAAATAAGTATTTAATTAACTAATTTGATTAATAATCAATGCTAAATATCTGATCACGCGATATCACGTGCTACATAGCCGGTGCTAAATGTCCGATCACGCGATATCGCGTATTCTATTGCCTACGTTTAACCGCTGTGGCACATAGCGATTACCTACTTATCGTACACTACACGTACGTGTTAAGACAAATAAGTACACTAAATAGGTAATACAAAAAATTCACAATTCTTATTTTTATATAATATATTTACCAAAACAAGATTACACCTTCAGTATTAATTTTAAAAACGTAAGTGTTAATAAATAATTTTTTGAAAATTTTGAAGATGATAGAAATAATATATTATCAATATTTTTTAATTGGTGGATTCTGCGAATTCTACCTTTAACCTTTCTAGCGTTAATTACTGTTTGTATTAAATGCTTTCAATTACAATAGAATCCCTATTATCTGAGAGTTGATTATCTCAGGTTACATTTATCCGGTATAAGGTAACTCGATCCACCGAGTAACATCATTTTCAACGGATATAATTACATGATACTATTATACAATGATATTGAGTGGGTAAAGGTTTAATAAGGTTATGTTTAGAGGTTAAGGTTATTTTAAAAACAAAGTTTCTTTTTATAAGCTGCCTCTTATCAATTATGATTTCGAATTTAAATATTTTCCCACGCTTTTATGCATCTGAAAAACGTGAAACAAGATAAATCTTCAATTTCTTTTTTCTTGAAACACTAAATTAATTTGTACACCTAATATAACAAATTTTGTCCAAGACATAAATAAATTATTGTTATTTAGAATATAAAATGATGTATATTTTATGTGTCTTTTATTTTTAAGAAGTTTTTAAAAAAATTATTTTCCAATATATTACTCTATTGCTTTATTTAAAAACCAGCGGAATTACAATTTCAAAAAATAATTAAAAATTGCTTGGGCCTAATAGGTCCCACCTTACCAGTTACAAATTAAAAACAAAGGAAGACTAGTCAGTTAGATAATATTGATTATGCAACACAGTAACTAATTCTATGGCTGAACATTTAATACTATTTTACTAAGCAGAAGTAAAGATTATTTGTTGAACGAGTTTTCATTTGTAAAAATTGTTACAGGTTATTACATAATCCAAGTCAAAGCTTCCACTATGTATTTATTATATGTCACGGTGTATAAATATAAAATTTGAATCGATTAGACACATGTAACGCGAAATTATTTTAAAATCAAACATATTTAAAAATAATTTTTCATTCCAATTCCTATTAGTAATCGTACAGAACTCATAACAAAATTTACATCGTACATCTGCAATTTAAATTTCTGCTAAACGGGTACGACCGTAATTATATAACCATTGCTTGCTATTATCGGTGTTTAAGCTCATGCAAAGAAAAAAACAATCTTCCAAGTTTTTAATTAAAAAAAAGAAAAAAAATAGAAGTATATGGCCTATTCTGGTTCCACATGCGTCACATTCCAACGAAGCAACGCAATGACAACCAGAGCCGCATCTAGCACCGGGCAGACGGGTCACTTGCCCCGGGCCCCGGGCCCTGGGCCCCGTGCTCAGACGCTTTTAGATTTTGCAAAAATTAATTGAATTAAATATTAATAATTAAATTATCAAATTTTTTAACTTATTTGTAAGACCATATTGCTTGTATAGGATATAAAAATCGAATTGGTATAACTATAAATTAAGCTAAACTGAAAATGTAGCTTTCCGAAAAATAGATTTTGAGGTTATGTTTCCAGTTAGATGATATCAAACCCTAAAGACCTTAGTTCTAATGACAGAAGGTATCATCCAGGTGTGATTTTTAATGTTTATTGACAAAATTTAGTAGAAATATAAATTTTAAAACAAAAATAAAAACAGAAATGTAAATTATTAATTTGTTTCAAATGTTTTATGACAGGTATCATCCCAAAACTTGTATTAATAACTGAATTTGACATTTCGGCTGTACTTATAAAAAAATTATTTTTAATTTTATAAATAAACAAAATAAATAAAAAAGAAAGTTTGTGGAAAGACTGTATTTGAATTCTTTCTAACCTTCGTGGTAGAAAGCATGAATGTTACAACACTTCTGAGAAAACAATTTACATAATTTATCTCTAAATGACGCAAAAATTTCAAAACTTCCAAGCATCTGCCCTTATATACAGGGTAATTTGTAAATAAAAAGAATCCTGTTACATTTTCGAAAGATTTCATTATAATTAGAGTTGGGGCCCTCTGTTTATAAAAGCTGGCCCAACACAACGGAATGCATTTTTCCGTAAGAAATATTCGATGTTGTAGGCCGTAAACATCATTCTACAAATAGCGATTCCAATGTACCGTGCAAGAGACTTTCGTGTCCCATCGTGTTTCTCGAGTGGCACTCCAAGGTCTACCTTTTGCGTGTGGATATACGCATCAATTGCGACGCAATAGCGAAAAGGATTAACGTGCAACGCACGCTGACGAGCTTGTACGAGACGATAACGAGCGTTACATTTTTCTTAACACGTCAACATCATGCAGACGCTTGCATCGCTGTATCTAATGTATCCGCGATGATTTGACTAACGGTTCCTTCAAAAATCTTGCAGTTCAACATTCGTTACGCTCCTCTCTCGCATCCTCGATAGAACGTGCCATTTTGAGTAACAGGATGTTTCGGCCGATAAACTCCATTCATTGGTACATGCTGATTTGTTACATAATTACATAGTTATTCATCGACTTTCAATCGTTCGCTTGAAAAATACATGATTAATTTATTGTGTCTCGTGTTGGGGCGGAGGTTGCATCGATGTCTCTCCAGAAATGTTGCAGACAAGTAAAGAACGCGTAGGAATAAATTCCAATTTGTTGTGCAAGATATTCCATCGAGTTTACATATATGCTCTGTGCCGGTAAAGCATGACAATTAGTCGGTAAACGTGACAAATCGTTGCCCTCGATGATAAAATATCAGTCATTCTTCGAAAGGAATAAACTACTTAGTTGTCGCAACGTTTACGAATAAGCTCGAGCACGACAACTAGAGCGCGCTCGAGCGAACAGGACCGCGGACGTAAACCACAACGATCTGTCATTTGCGGGTTTCAACGCACAGCTTGCCGGTAGTTAGGATTTTGAAAAAAAAAAACATAGAAATGAATTTCAGATCTCACCCTTGTGTCTACGCCACTGTTTGTAAAGGAGCGCAGCAACGAGCAGCAGGAGAATTGTCGTAAGGAAAGTACCGATCACAGCCCCTGCCACGCTTCCTGCCCCGAAACAGGTATCCCGTGGCTCGTCCTCCATTGCTCCTTCTTAAATTCTCCTTCGATGCATTTCCAACCTGATCGTTACAACTTATCCGCGTTTCTTCTCACTGGAATATCCGTGTTAAACCTTCAAACGAACCGTAGTACGCACTGTTCACCGCGACTCCATTCGATGTGCATAAGGAGACATTATTTTCACTTGGCGAGTCGTTGCCCTTTACCGAAGAATCACTACCACGATCGGAGACACCGTCCTACTGCTGTGACACCGTGCACAGTACTAAGAGAAAAAAAGAAGAAAACCGAGAAAGAAAGAGAGAGAACGGACCCATGGATCGAGTAAAACAGGTAGCTGCGCAACAGGTGCTTCTGCACGAGGTGGGGATTTATCGAGGGCCGGGGACAGGAGTGGAACGAGTATGCGAAGAATGGTAGGGGAATCTGGCATTCCTTCACCGTTTCAGAGTTGACCGTATTCCTCATACCCAGCCTAAAAGCACCGCGTGAATGTAACCCGTAGGCGTGTAAAGAAACGATTCCTATATGGATTAATTTCCATACAGCGGAAACACCGCTATCGTTACGGATCATATATAAAAAGAATACTACTTTAACAAAAAATGTCAGTACTCGATGATTAGGTTTAACGATATCTTCAAATAAGCTCGATTATTGTCACGTGATTTTAAACGATAATAAAATACCTAACGATGCTATGAATCTTCTAAGCAATTGATGATTAAATTAAACGAGCATTTATTAAACCCGATTACTTCGAGCGTGTCATAATGCACCGTTTTCTATGCGATTCTTGCTAATTTATATGTATTAGATCTCGGTCTAGTTTCTATACACCGGAAATTCTCAAGTGTAAAATTATAATTAGGAATCTATTGAAACTCGTGAACTTTTTTTCCTAATCGCACGCTAAATTTACATAATTAGTGATCAATCAAATTGAAAATGAATTATAAAGTTATACAGATTACAAAATGAATTAAATTTATTTATACAATTATTTCATCTTCTGTTTTTTTAAACTGTATTTTAAAATTTAAATAAGATAATTCAATTTCATTACACTGTAACATGTGTAAAGTAATAAAAATAACAGTATTATAACATACACCTATATCAATCATTTCAAATTTCGCGCCAATAAACTAACGATAAATTTTTATTTTATAAAGGATTGAATATTGTTGAAGTAGCTTTATATTATTATAAGTTTTCACTGCTTTACACAATTGTACGTGTGGTTTGTTGCATATCAATTAATTCTACACGCATAATAAAAATAATCTACTATTATCCACCGAGTTTCTAATGCTGTTGAGGTTAAGTAATTGATTTCAGTTGACCTGCTCGACATAACCTGTAAAACAACAATTGCAAAATGTAACTGAAATGCATGTATATATATATTAAAAGCGTTACAATAAATATATCGTATGAAATCGTCAATTTTGGAAATGAATTACGCTGCTTGAATTACAATATTCATGAATATAGCCGTGAAAAAAAAACGTAAAAGAGGTGTTATAACCTAGTTCAGTTTATTATTTAGACGTCATGACGCTTATACCTAAAGATTTAACAAAACTGCTGGATATCCTCGAAGAGGAGAATCTAGATACGAGTTTGGAGAATCTTTGTAATCAGTTACATCAAGTATTTCCGAAAGAAGATCGGTTCAAAGTAGGAATGACATTGGTTCTTCTGTTACAACACATAGACTTGTTACCAAAAAATGTTCAGCGTATAATAGCAGTGGCGTTATTATTTGATCTATATAGAGGAGAACCTTTGACCTCTACACCTTTTGCACCAGTTTTTATTCAGGTTTTAAAACCACAGGAAGATACAAATAATGGAGTACCAAAGACTAACTTTTCAGGACATATACCAGTCTTATCACAATGTGAGAAAAACTTGTTAGTAAATTTACTGGGGTACAATCAGAAAGATATTTTGAAAAAAACTCCAAGACAAATTGTGGATGAATTATATTTTGTGTCTGTACCACCCATTGATTTAAGTAATTTACAAGTACAACTGACAGAGCGTCATTCAGAATTGCCAGCTATTGCTAAATGTGGAAATCCTGTGATTTTACCTGATATGGATCACTCTAAAGTAACAGAAATCGATAAAAACACTGCTAAGAGTATAACAGAAGTTTTAATTTCTAACGATCCACCATTGTGTAGTCAGAGTTATCGTCCTGAATTCTTAAGACTAGCACCTCCACTTTATCGTTCAGTTGATGAACTATCATGGTTCAATGTTACAGAACCTTCTCAATTCACAATCGAATACGACACTAATATGTGTGTTTCGAATTGTGCCGGTGCGGAAGCACGAAGGTTAATGGGTAAAGCATTTAAAAGTGTACTCACATTACAGCAACAACAACACCTTGTTAATGAACTAGATAGAGATCCCAAATTGGTGTATCACATTGGCCTTACACCTGGAAAATTACCAGATTTGGTAGAAAATAATCCCTTGATCGCGATCGAGGTTTTATTAAAACTTATGCAATCAAGTCAAATAACAGAATATTTCAGCGTTTTGGTAAATATGGAAATGTCCCTTCATTCGATGGAAGTGGTCAACAGATTAACTACTACCGTAGATTTACCAACGGAATTTGTCCATTTGTATATTAGCAATTGTATTTCTACTTGTGAAACTATAAAGGATCGTTACATGCAGAATCGTTTAGTACGTTTGGTTTGCGTGTTTCTGCAATCCTTGATTAGAAATAAAATTATAAATGTAAAGGAACTTTTTATTGAAGTACAAGCTTTTTGCATAGAATTTAGTCGCATTAGAGAAGCTGCTGCTCTTTTTCGTCTTCTGAAGCAGCTTGAATCTGGTGATATAGGTGGATTGAATACACCATCTAATAACAATAAATTAGACATGTGTTAATATAATTAACATTTAATTTTTCAAGTATTTGGTAAAAGATTAACAGACTATCAAAGTTTCTATTCTTGTCGATTTATTAAATTACAACAAATTAAGACATGAATAGTGTTTCACAGAGTTTTTCTAAAAGTGAAATTATAAATTTAATATTGCTTTATACCCACTTTTAGCTTTAACTCATTTATTTTTTATTAATCGTGAAAATATCAGCTCGATCAATTTATACTTCTGTTCAAGGAATTAAAAGATAAAATGTTTTCTTTTTTATACAAATTTACATTAAATATATTTATTTACATGTCACCGTATTTTACGCAAGTAAATAAAATACCTGTGTATTATCATCGTGGGTGTACTATTAATAATAATAAGTTGTAAAAATCGTACTTAGACCGTTCTTATCTGATTCATAAAAAATGTTTTTTTATTAGCGTTAAGACATATTCTATAATACACTATACACTTATTTCTTTAAAATAAGATACTATAAATAATATACTTTTACAGATCATACAATTTGTACTATAAAAGTAAAGCAGATAATAAAAGATATTTTTTCTAATTTAAATATAAAATCTATGTTGAAATCTATTAAGTGTACAAATTAATTCAATGCCTTATTCTTAATTAATCTAGGATCTCTAGGAAATGAACACAGTTAATATTTTACAAATGCAGATGAATACCTATGTTTCAAAACACTACCTCCCTGATGTACTTATTACATCCGTTTTGTTTATTTCTGTATTAGTTTTTGAAGCATAATTAAAACTTTGAACTATTGAATTAGGTTGCTCTGTCCATAATCTGTATCCTTTTTTTGTAGGATACTTTTTAATACTTAAACATGTTAAACATGTCCATTTTACAGCCTTTTGTGGTTTTGAAACCAATCTTACTTTTGCTGTTTTACCAGGTATAAGTGGAGATTGACAGCATTTACAAATTGTCTTTTTTATATCCGATTCTCTTGAAAGAAAAAGAAATGACAAAGTTATTATTTTATAAAAACAGACACATTTATTCACTTAAATAGTTTAATATATAAAACTCACATTCGTAAAACAGATTTCTTTGAGCATCCAATCATCACATTGCCATAAAATGATGCAGCTACTCTATTTTTTAGTGCCATTAGACGACTTGCCTGAATAACAGATTTTTCTTTAATTTTATTAATACACATATGTAATTATCAAAAATTATTATATTACCTGATATAAATAATTCATTCGTTCCAAGACATCTTTACCCTGACATAGTTTAGAATCTGAATCTACAAAAGTTATAGTATTATATTAAACATTTTTATATATATTGGACCTTAAAAACTTTAAAACGTTTATACTTAGAATAAAAATTTTATACTAACTCATATCTCTGATTAACTTCTATTGAAATTTCAGAAAAAATGAATTTAATTCACTTTTAAATATGAAAACGTTAGAAAAAAGATTTTAAAATATTAATAATCAATGTTGTCACAAGTATGGGTAATAGGGGTCCCAGACACCCCAAGATGCATCGGGGTCCCTGATACCCCGGATGTCATAATGTCGGTATATAGAGAGGGCCACTGATGCATCGGGGTCCCTGGTACCCCGGATGCCATAATGTCGGTATACAGAGAGGGCCGGGCCACTGATGCATCGGAGTCTCTGGTACCCCGGATGCCATAATGTCGGTATACAGAGAGGGCCGGGCCACTGATGCATCGGGGTCTCTGGTACCCCGGATGCCATAATGTCGGTATACAGAGAGGGCCGGGCCACTGATGCATCGGGGTCCCTGGTACCCCGGATGCCATAATGTCGGTGTATAGAGAGGCCCACTGATGCTTCGGGGTCCCTGGTACCCCGGATGCCAGAATGTCGGTATACAGAGAGGGCCACTGATGCTTCGGGGTCCCTGATACCCCGGATGCCATAATGTCGGTATACAGAGAGGGCCGGGCCACTGATGCATCGGGGTCCCTGGTACCCCGGATGCCTTAATGTCGGCATGCAAAGAGTGTCACCCGAGCTTCGGGGTCCCTGATACCCCAATTTAAATAATATCCTTGTCATTTTTAATGACATTCTCAGCTGTATGTTACAACTATGCGTTACATATTATTAGTTTACTTATAACCCACAACGAATAGGTCGAATTTGAATTTTTGTAAATCTGTAATCTTCTAAAAGTGTGATGAATGTTAATTCAAATCTTGATTATCGCGTATAGTCCAGGGAGCGCTAATGAGCAATCCAATGAGAGACCATGACTACGAAGACTGCATCACAGGAATTTTTGCATGTTATGTTATCTATACTGTGTAACATTATTTTGAACGTTTGAACGAACATTTTAAATATCCAAACTGTCAAAACGAAGCATAACATATTTAAATAATATACCTTTTGATAATGTCATCAAATTATTTTGAGAAATTAAAACTTCAAGCTCGTCAGCTTGATGATAATATTGAAAAGTTAAGCACGGCGTGGAAATTGCCACAACGTTTTATTGGAGGGTATGCAAAACCTACCAAAGAAACAAATGGTCACGTTGAAGCTCTATGGAATACTATAAAGAATGCACAGGTTTTTATTACAAATTGACATTTAAAATTTTCAATTTGATATATATTTTAATCATTTATGTCATATTAGGTCGAAAAGGAAGAAATAAAAAAGCAAGTGGCTAACTACAGTGGAACACTAGATATGGAACAATTTCTACAAGAATTAACAGAAGAATATAACCATATAAAAGCACAGTGTGATAACTTAGATGTTGTTCTAGCAGAATATGGTTATCGTTATAGTGACAGCGATACCTTGGACCAGTAAGTTTTTATTTAATGTCACTTTATAAAAACATTTATAATTCTGACATATTATTTGTATTTTACAGTACAGTTATAGGTAATGGTGAGAAATCATAACCAACATTAATCCTTACTTAATTAACCCTCATCTGTCCCTCATTTGAAATCTGAATCTACAAAAGTTATAGCATTATATTAAAGATTTTTATTTGAAATGTACCTTAAAAAGTTTATACTTAGAATAAAAGTTTTATACTAACTTATATTAGTTTATCCTTTTGTACCATATTCTCATCTGCTACAGAAGTTTATATTTTTATAAAGAATTTGTTTGGGTACAGTAATTGCTTTTCTTTGTTAGGTTTAGCATAACATCTAATGGATAATGTTCTTAGATTTCAAAGCTGTTTTCATAATATTGGTTACATTTATTTATTATTCTATGTATAAGACTTTGTTAGCAATTTTATCATCACAATCGGGAGATCTCTTAAATAAAGCAAACATTTGCTAAAGTTTTATTTATTGTTTATGTGAATAGACTACGTTATTACAATATTTTATGTAAAATATGTTTATATACAAATATACAATATGCTTTTGTATAAATACAGTACATATAGGCACAATATATATCTACATTCTTTAGATCATGTATAAACAAGTACAAATAAAATAAAATTTGGGCATACAAATGGCTACTGGTAACAGATAGAACAGTAATATTGCTTTGAGTTATAAAATAGACATTGTGAAATGTTTCAATTACTTGAAAAACTTGTGTGCACTTTCAGTTATTCAAAACTGTTCTATCTATTTTATTAATTTTGATCAGTGTTATACAAACTTATAAGAAAATATTTGATCATATTTAAACTGTTGCTTGTATAACTTTTTTAACAAATTACTATTCAACAATTTTATATATAAATGTATATACAGGGGGTTCCACTTAAAACAGGTCATTTAATATGTATATAAAAAAACTTCCATCTGATTTGTCTTTTAAAACAATTTAAATTGCATAACAAAAATCTGTCTGGTATTATAACAAATAGAAAAGATATTTAGGTGGTCTGTTTGAAGCAGAACATCCTGTATAATGAAATTGTATATTGCTATGAATTTATGAAATTGATTTGTAGAAAAACATTTCTGTACAATTAATAATGTCAGTGACATACAGATTGAATGTGTGTCAGCATAAAAGATAATTATATAATAGGCAATAATCACAATGTGTTTTTTAGTAATGAAAGATTCATTATGTATATATATTTTCTTCATGATTTGAGAATGTAGGTATGAATATAAAAGTACCTAGTTGTAAATATAGTACAAATCATAATAAAATTGTTTTAAACGTATATATATATATATATAAATATATATATATATATAAAACACTGCTGTATCATTGCCAACGATATCATAATCGTAGAATATTTAAATTTCCTTTTTCTTTTTTTATGTAGACTGAAATGTATAAAATTGATTAGGCTGAACAGATTAAAGTAATTTCTGTATATCTAAAAATATAAAAATCATTTTCCTTTTACTTTTCACGACATTCTATCACAAAGTTATTATGTTTTCACAGTCCATATTTAAACATGTTACATTTACGACTTGTAATATTTTATAATTTTTTTTCTTTATTTAACTACTATACAACAGTTTGATAGAAAACTTAAATGATACATAAATGTGATGTAACCGATATAATATAAAAGTTTAGTAATATTCTGTATGTTTCAAGTGAACGTATAATGAACTGTGATTTATTAATTAATTGGAGAAACAATATCACGTTTACATCTTTACAAAATGAACTGCATAATTTATAAAAGCTCTAAGTATCATAAAAGTTTTCTATAAGATAAAAATTTTATACATATTACACCTATACAAATTCACAGATACGGTTGTTTGTTAATTTGTGAATTATAAAGAGTATAGGCTCCTTTAAAATATCTCTACAAAAATTACAGACATTATTCTCGGTGAGTATCAATATATAAATTCTGTATACAAGTATGTAAATTGTATAAAATTGTGTATAATTCATTTTTCAAAACAATATTTTGTTAAAGGCAATAATAATGTTCTTAAAAACGTGATACGATTTAAAAATACTCTAAGAATATCAATTAAAAATTGACCTGTTTAAGCTTATAGGAATGTAAAATGTATCAGTTAAGAAAATATACCAATTATTAAAGTTTCGCATTATTTTTACATGATACGAATAGCTATGTAAAAATTCAATCATCTAACATTTTATATTTTTTACATTAGACCTAAAAATCTCTTATATACAAACATAACAAAATATTTTCATTAGCTCCAGGTATAATTAATTCTCAATACAATTTTTAAATGTTTTTCTTTTTTCTTTTTGTATAAAGAACAAAGGGAACAAAGATTTTATGTAATAAATGATCAGAATGGAAAAATAGCTGTGTGTATAAATATAAATGTGGTTTTAACATTAGGCATTACACTAAACTAGTAAAAAATAAATTACATAGAAAATTTATTAGTTTTAAAATTCTTTGGTTTTACCATAAATATTATTACATAAAATCCTTGGTTACAGTGGTGTTTATAATGCCAATAGAAAATGCTGTTCCCTGTTATTAAAAAATCTGAACTGTGTATAATTTTCTTGACAAAAAGAGAACATCTTAATCAATAGCTTGCCTTTGTTGTAATACAATTCTTCCATCTTAATTGAATGAAATAATGTAAATTGCCATGTAACATGCGGGAACAAAAGTTTATGAAAAAAATATGTATAAGTCATGTGTTTATAAAATAATAAATTAAAATAATATATTCTGGAAAACTGCTATCTTATGGGATTGAAAAGCAAACTTTATTTGAACCTTTGCATACGAAAAATAATAATACTGATTACTATAAATTTTTTTCTTAAAGAAATAAATGTTTAATCAAGGACCAGCTATTTAAACCAAAGTTTAGCAAAACACTTCCTACTTAATTATTCAACAAAATCTACTATATCCATTATAATGATCTTTCTTTATATGATTTTTTGTTGCAGCAAATACTGGAGGTTTACGTTACAACAGAAAAGTAATATTGAACTATCAGGACTATATTAATTTAAATTATAATTGCTTACAAAATATAATTTATTGTGTGCTACAGAAAATAAGTTTAATTTAGAGAAGTACAAAAACAATAAATCAAAAATATGACGAATATCAAGGTATAAGAATTTCTATTTCTATTTTGAAACAATGAAATCCTGTATACCATTTTTAAATGAAATGCAAAAAAAATTATGTAAAAATTAACAATTTTGCACACAGCAATTTGAACACAAACTGGTTAGTTTCATTTGGTTTATATGGCATGAATCTAGTATTTGGTTTCCTCGTTACTTACTATATTCAATGTTAACAAAGATAATTCAAGCGTAAGTAAAAAATAAGTTATTCTTATGTTTGTGAAAGCTGGTTATATGACCAGCGTTTTTCATTATATATTTTAATATAAAAAAGAAGCACTGGATTAAATATCTGTACAAAATAGAAAAATCTTAGCTAAACTATTAGCAAACTGATCCTTTTTTTTATACAAACATGTAAAATCGTTATTATTGACAATGTATAGAACATAAGTTAACTATGTACAATAAATTGTATATAATAGTCTTCTTACAACCCTTTAATATTCAATATTCATCAAAAAGGATGGAAATATATTATCAGTGTATAGGTATATATGTATATATAGTGTATACAGTGTTAAAAATTTTCAATACATGTTTCCGTTAGGCAGTTTTTACTCCCTCCTTTGTATAAAACTATTATGAAAACGTTTAATTTACCGTTGTCAACGGAGGTAATCGTATGATTTATATTGATACAATATATATAATATATATATTGTCTTACCAGAACTTCTTTTCAACTTGATGTCCTAATATTTTTTCAACTAATTTCACTTCACTATATACCAAATACTAAACGTTGAACGCGTACCTTTGAATTGGAAATTATTTCACTTTTTTTTTTACACACATTCATCATTATTGGAGCATCAACGATTCCAGATTTCTATGCAAAATTGTGTCTTTGACTGCATTAAACACAACTTTTATATTTTCTGTATCAACAGCGGTAGTAAAGTGATGAAAAAGAGGTTTTCTTGGGTCCCTTTTAACAGATATAAACATGTCTAGTATAAAATTCTGCACATCCTTCATGGAATGTGAATCTCCTGTGAATTGTGGGAAATACCAACGAACATTTGTGTCGGGTGATCTTACTTTTTTATCCAATAAATCAGTTTTGTTTAAGAATAAAATAATAGATACACCACCGAATATCATGTTGTTAACTATTGTATCAAATATATTTCTTGATTCTTCTAACCGATTTGTTCTCCTGGAATATTAGATAAGGTATTTATTACAATTTTCTATAAGTAAAAAATTATAATAATAAATATAATGACAACTTACCTATCTTCTAACAACACTTGATCAAATTCTGACGATGAAACAAGAAAAAGTATAGAAGTAACGCAATCAAAACATTGATACCACTTTTGTCTTTGAGATCTTTGCCCCCCGACATCAACAAACAGAAATGGAATATTATTAATTTGTATAACAAATTCAGAAATTCCTTTTGTAGCTTTTCTACAGTGCAAGATATCTTGGTGTGTAGGTACGTAATCCTGCAAAAAAATTTTAGTAGTTTAAAAGTACAGTAATAAATTTAACAAGCAATAAAAAGTTTATGAATAAATTATACAATATTACCATTCTAGCAATCCTATCAAGACTGTCCAAAAAGTACTGAACTGAATCACTCTGTAAAAGCAAAAAAATAGTATTATAAAAATAACAGTACAAAAGTAGCTTTGATTTGTTTACTAATTTCTTAAACTATAAAAGGTGTCTTACTAATTGAAATTCTCTTCTCCTATCAAAGGCTTGTTTGATCGATGCATCTTTCCATAAACTTTGTAAGGCTGGTACATAATGGAGAAACAATCTAGCATCTAATACCATAGTATTTTCAACCTTCAATAACTGATAACCAATATCATAGTTTTTAGGATTTTCCCATGGAATATTTAACTTATCACGAGCATCTACCAATACCTTCATTCCTTTAATTATATTTTGATAAATTACATGTTGATATTCCTTAATTAATTCAGGCTGAAAAAAGAGGTGATAATTATTACAAATAAAAATGAAGAATTATGTTACTTTTATTAAAACAGTTTTAATAAATTTTATAATCTTTCTAAGCTTACATTTTATTTCATATACTATATACCTATAGTTGGTTTTTATGACTATGACAAGTGAAAAATAAACAAATTGATATCATATCGTATATGTAAACTTAACACTACATGTTTTATGTATACTTTCTGACTAAAAAATGTAACAAAAAAAAACAAGATAAAAGATAAGTGTACCAGACTTTTTTTTATTATTGAAAATATATAACATGTAGGTAAATATCATTATAAAGAGAAAATACAAAATCGAAATAATAAAAATAAATACAAAAACGAATCATCTTTTCTGTAGACCTACTTTCTCATATATTCTTAAACCATGTGTTTAGGTCAACCACCTTCCCATGGATAGACATTTAAATAACTATACAACACTGACAGAAAGTGTATAGGAAACTACGGTTTTCTATAAGTGAATTATTCACGAGCGAAGAGGAAAATATTTGAAAAAAAGAGTGAAGAAAATTCCGAAGATATTAAGCTGAAAAAGAAACATTGCCCCGATGAAAAGTCGACATTGTTTTACCTCAAATTTAATTCCGTGAATAATTCGCATCTGTTTGAGGAATGTCGACTTTCCGCTCTCACCCGCCCCGAGGAGCAGCAACTTGACCTGCCGTCGGAGTGCTTGACGATCTTTCTCCAGCATCCGATCGATTTCTTGACTTTTGTAACGCTGCTCGATCTCCTCGGGGCTGAACTTGAAACGCAGGCAACAAGTACACGACCACGTTAAGGATCCCGCCATCTTGCTACCCTGCTACCCTCTTCCTTCCTTCCGGCGTTTCTTCCGTGTCAGGCCGTCCTTCCGAAGGAGTATATATCCTTGATTATCTAAACACCGTGCGTACACAGAGAGAGAAAGAGAGAGATACACAGAGGAGTACACTACACACACACACACGCAGCGCGCGCGCGCGTGGACTCGCACACAAGTATCCAATCACGAGTAGTAAGTTTATCGTAATGTAATGCACGTATCGAAGGAGCCACCCGTGAACAACCTGTTCGTGATTACACGGGATCGACGCACGTCGCGATTCAGAACCGCATTTCTCACTTAGGCGTAGCCGGGAATCCAAGCAGCGAACCAACGTCAACACACGTCGTTTTCTACTCGACGCGATACTTCCACACCTACCGTTAATCGCGAGACTCACGCCGCTAGCTGCCCACGATCTTCTCTGGTTCCTCGCGAATTGAACATGATTAAATAATCGTTCTAATTACCGAGTAGGAGAGCTAACTCGTGCATCGTTCTCATCACACTTTATTCCCCGACTATTCAGACGACTCTCCGGTCGTCTTTGATTCGAAGAAAATCTTCCACAGTTAAACAGAATCGTATCACGCGTACTTATACACACCTGCACCGTTTTTTTTCAATCGAAACGAGCATGCAGCAGGGGTTCACCTATGCCAAACTACATAATAATAATGCGGGGGAAGAAATATGCGAAACGGCGAACGGAAAAACGTACTCCCCACCACGACATATTTGTTGTGAGATACTGCCGTAACGCACACACGTATAGGAACACATACACGGTCTATGACACCGACCGAAAGCACACCTCCCGGTTCGGCCGCGTGATCGGTTTTGCGTGCTGTCATTCGTCGGAAGGCCTTTCTTTTTTTTTCTTTATCCTTGTCGATACTGCAACACGCCGCGACGACGATTCCCCTTGAACATCATGCGTCAACGAACACACGGTTTTGGTTATGTGGTGGGGAGGGAACGACTCATTTTTCCATTTCTCTCTATCGTCACTCGACAAATCTTTTTATCGCCTCCCCCTTCTTCGTCCCTTTGATTGCACTTACTTACCGCAAGCCAGTTTTTCAATGTTACATGCATAGAAACAATGACGAGACAACAGATTGGTGAATATGATAAATGATACTGACCAATCCTAGCGACTAGTTTTTGAGAACGCCGCTATGTTGCATTTCAAAGATGGCACTGCTATAAACAGCCAAAGTTGTTAAACATACAAGTTGGAACTTATACTTTGAAAGACAATTTTATAAGAAAATCATGTCGTTAGCGGATGAACTGTTAGCTGATCTCGAAGAAAATGATGATAATGATCAGGAAATGGAAGAACCGGAGCCGGATTTCATTCCAGCTTCAGTTTCAAAACCTATCGAAGAAGGTTAACCTCTCATCACGTTTGTTTACATACAGTACAATTCTTAATAAGAATAGCACTGTTGAATATGATTGTAATTTCATTTCAGAAATAAAAGTAGCGTCGGTGAGGGAATTAGCAAAACTTCGTGATTCTGAGCAATTAAAGAAAGTAATGTCTCAAATAGAAAAGTACAGTAAAGTTCCTAGAAAATCAGCAGATATCATTGGACCCGTTGAATCTGATCCAGAATATCAACTCATTGTTGAAGCTAATAATATGGCTGTAGACATTGATGACGAAATAGGTAATAATATAAATCGAATTTTTTAAATGACTCATTATTTTATAAACTGATTATCCAGTATCTGGAGGATTTATTTTGTTTAGAGCAATTCTTTGGAAGATTTTTAAGTATAAGTCACTATTATATGGCCACAGAGAACTGAGTATCAGTTGAAATTGTGAAAAAGAAACAATTAGTTACAGGCATTCACATGAACAAGCTTCTTTGCTGTGGCAAATATAGTTGCAACTATATGTATGCTTAGAATGGAAAAATTGCTTTAAATAAGAAAAGTCTGCATAAAAGTCAGACAATTGGTTTCTGAAATAATTGTAAACACATAAATAAAATTTTCTTATATGAATATGTAGTAAAATAATGATACTTGAATCACATGCAAAATTAATTTCCCCTCGGGCAAAGATCATATAAGTTACATTTTTCAGCTACAATACATCGATTTACAAGGGATAAATATTCCAAAAGGTTTCCAGAATTAGAATCTTTAGTTGTGGGTCCATTGGAATATGTAATGACAGTTAGAGAATTAGGAAATGACTTAGATAGAGCAAAAAATAATGAAACATTACAGCAGTTTCTTACTCAAGCAACAATTATGGTAGTTTCTGTTACTGCCTCAACAACACAAGGGTAATATTTAATAACTTTATGCATTATATATAATTAAATTGTGTTTACTAATTTTTCAAATTAAATTATTTTACTTATAGCCAATTATTAACTGAAGACGAGAAGGAGGCTATTTGCGAGGCTTGTGACATGGCAGTAGAATTGAATAATTGTAAATTAAAAATATTCGAATATGTTGAGAGTAGAATGGCATTTATTGCACCAAATCTTTCTATAATAGTAGGTGCATCAACAGCTGCAAAAATTATGGGTACCGTATACATATATTATTTCTAACATTAATAAACATTTTAAACTTCTATTAACACACATTTTATTCGTTATCGTAGGTGTAGCTGGAGGTTTGACAAAACTTTCAAAAATGCCAGCTTGCAATGTATTAGTACTAGGATCTCAAAAAACTACGTTATCTGGATTTTCACAAGTAGCAACATTACCTCATACTGGTTTTATATATTACTCTGATATCGTACAAGATACCCCTCCTGTAAGTTGTTATGTAATAAATATGTGTTAGGCAAATCTTTTTTTATTGTCTTCGTTTATTTATTTTTCCAGGATTTACGAAGAAAAGCTGCAAGACTCGTGGCAGCCAAAAGTATGTTAGCTGCGCGTGTTGATGCATGTCATGAGAGTACGGATGGTCACATCGGTCAATTATTCCGTGAAGAAATTGAAAAGAAGTTAGATAAACTTCAAGAACCACCTCCGGTAAAATTCGTGAAACCTTTACCAAAACCTATTGATCCGGGAAGGAAGAAACGTGGTGGTAAACGCGTTAGAAAAATGAAGGAACGCTACGCAATTACTGAATTCAGAAAACATGCAAACAGAATGAATTTTGCTGATGTAAATATTATGGTTCTGTATTTTATAACTTCCTTAGTAATAGTTTTCTTTAATGCATATCCAATCATTTCCATAGATTGAAAATGATGCTTATCAAGAAGATCTTGGTTACACACGTGGTACAATAGGCAAAGCAGGGGCTGGTCGTATTAGACTACCTCAGATCGACGAGAAAACAAAAGTACGAATATCGAAAACGCTTCAGAAAAATTTGCAAAAGCAACAGCAATGGGGTGGTAGTACAACAGTTAAGAAACAGGTTTCTGGTACAGCGTCCAGTGTCGCATTTACACCGTTACAGGTAAATTAATAATAATTTGTCATTAAACTTTCTAATGTATTGTAAGTTCAAACTATTGTATTTATTTGCAGGGCCTGGAAATTGTAAATCCGCAAGCTGCAGAAAAGAAAGTAAACGAGGCTAATGCTAAATATTTTTCAAATACAGCTGGTTTTTTGAAAGTAAAAAAATCATAAATAAACTGTACATATTCACCATAACGTGTATTAATTGATAAAATTTAATATTGTACATATTCTTTGTACAGCTTGCACATGCTGTATTTATATGTGTAAACATTAGAATGTTTTTATTATTAATTGTAATTAAATGTGTACTTTATTGAAAAAAAAATTGATATGTCATGAATTTAAACTATTGAAAATTTCTTCTTACAAACAAAAATCTGTTCATAAAAATGTGGGATAAATTTAAACGGTAGCTTAATCAACGTATAAAATTTCAAACTGTGAATGTATTTCTAAACACGTAGGTTATGTATAAATACAGTAGATGATAGACGACCTCGCGGTGAAGCGATTATAAAAATAAATAGTGCGAAAGAGTCGGCAACTAGAGTGAAAAGGGACGTTGGATACTAACGAAAGTGGAGAAAGAAAGATAGCGTTATGTACATGAGACGCGCGAAGAAGCGAGAGATGCAATTGTGGTAGTGAAAGATAAGACAAGGATAGATAGAACACCGGGTGGAACGAACGGCAAACCAGACCTGGGTGTCGTAAGGTAATCGTTGACTGCTTTGAGTACTCGTGTGTGTTCTGACTTCGTTTCTCATCTCTCAAGAATATTATACTTGCGCATGTTGTGTGAAGTTTCAGCCAGAACGAACGTTCCGCTTAACATTACGCGGGAAGTGCCAGTATGTTTCGGTTGTGACGCGGAAAACATACGAAAACATTATTGTGACAAAGTGGAAATTCTTGATTCTTTATTGTGGACCTGTCGGAGAAACCGGTAGCGAAGAAACAGGTCCTGACATAATCGACCATGGCAAATTTTAAAGATTTAATAAACTATTGTTTCATGTACTGTCAAGAATGTACCTATTGTCGGACAAAATTCGGTAAGTTTTTGAATCTTAATTTTTGTTATTAATATATCATTTTCAAACTATATGTATAATATTAATTAAAGCTGTATTTAAAATGTTTTTAAAATATTATGCCATTTTCAGTAAATCTTATGCGTACTTTTGTTTTGTACGCGTTCGTTTTTGATGGTTATGATTTAAAATAGTATTTTCGAATTTCTTACATTTTATGGTAATTAACCTATTAAAGTCAAGGGAAGTATTCTAGGGAAGACACAAGTGTTTAGAAATATACTACTATATTAGTAGTGTTTCACACACGAGAAATATTTATCATTCTGACGGACTTTTATTTTTTTACTTTTTGAATTATTTTTTTCAAGTTCTTAAGAGTTCCTCGTTATGTATATAAATTTGGGAGTTAAAAAATCAATATAATCATTATAACATCAAATATTTAAAAAAAATAATGGTATTATTGCAATAATCATTTTTATAATAACTATAAAATAATAACTCATTGTGGACAAGATAAGGTGTTATAAGTTGTTATTTCTGATACCATAGCAGATATTGACTTCATTAATTTTTTTTCCTACATGAATAGTACTTATCTAATTAAATAACATTTACTTAAAACACTTTTAGTTCCACATAGTTAAGGAATGTATACATACAAGGTGCGGCGTCTATCGGTCGCCATGATTTTTTAACTGATACTGATAGTTTAACAAAGGAAATAGTTCGATAAAGAATTGAAGTCAGCTCAATTTTCTGAATTTTCTATACTCTTAAAATACATGAAAAAGTAATTCAAACACAGTATAATTGAAACATATGAATAATAAAAGAAATATTAAATCAAATTTTCCGGCGTTAAAGTTTATACGCAAGTGGCGAGGATCCACAGTTCCTATACAGGGTGATCCTCTCACTAGGGGACACAAAGGAACTGGCGACAATGAATCCCTTGACCGCACCATGAAGACACACAGAGTCGTCTCGGCCCGGGTAAGTCCCCGCTGACACGTGATAATACGGACCTCTTTATGGTGTGGTCAAGGGATCCATTGTCGCCAGTGTTCCTTTGTGTCCCCTAGCGAGAGGATCACCCTGTATATATGGGGTCCTCACCCCTAAATTGTCATTTTTTCTGGGGAATCTACGGGAAGGATCGGAAATTAGGGGCATCGCTATTTTCTTGAGGAATATCAGTTATTTTAAATTACAAATTGAAATAATTTCTGACAAAATGAAATTAATAGCAATTATAAAGAACATAATATTTTATCTTTCATCTAGTAATTCACGGTATTAACCACTTAATATCCCTATTTAAAAGCATGACAACATAATATTACGTACCTGGATATTAAGCGATTAAGAAATTTATTAATAAATTTATTATCGATAAGAAAAATTTGTGGTGGCCATTAGCAATGATAAGAATAATCAACGCGTTAATTAATGAATACCCAGTTTGGATTGTTTCATAATCCAAAACGTCAGTTTAATATTAGCGTACCGAGTATTTCCATACTGTGATCTATACAGAGGAAAAATTGAATGTCGTTAAGGAAACGAGTTAAACGAGTATCGTTTAGTCGTAGACTTTCACTCGCGTGAAAATTCTCTTGACAGAACGATTTTGTTGATCGAAAAGTTGCGGCTAGGTAAATAAAAAAGGCAACGCTCCTTACCACGAGAAGCGATATCCCATCGCTTTCTCGTATAATGTTGCAGAATTGCGAATTGCCGATGCGAGAAAGTATTCGCATAACTAATACAACGTTCGTTATGTAATCTCACATTTAAACATTCAGCTTTAAATGAAAAGAATAGGGTCAGAAATGCGTGGCACGCGTACTTCAACTTTCATTACTTCCACTGTGTTAACTGAAATGACCAACGTCACGTTACAATTCAAAAAATTAATACATATTCTTTCAAGCACACTCTTTTATTTCTGAAATGTGATTGAGTCGGTAACATTTCTGTGCAATGATTCCATTTGCTCGGGGCAGCCCCGGGCACCGAGGCTCGCGCTTGAATACTTTTACACTTAAATTTTCATTTAACATATTGTAAATCGAATCTCATATATTGGAAGAATAATTTATAAAGGAACAGTGTAAAATGTAAAAAATGAAAATAATATAAATGAGCTCTCTCCATGGTCCGCTGTCCCAGGGTTGAAGGAAATTTTTATTTAAGATTAATACCAGATATAATTTCCAAAAGTGCCTACATAATACTAACAAATATCAATAAAACAAATAAATAATGCTTTCACATTTAAAATCATTCTGATGATTTGATTCTCAAAGTTGTTATGTTATGTTTGCTCAGCAACCAGCAACCGACCTTTCCCTTTCCTTATTCACCAAATCAATTTCTCCTTTTTATATCCTGATGGATGGTGATGAGTGAGAATTCTCCATTGGCAGCGGTAAGGTCGTTGAGGTTCACCAAGATATACGCGAATGAAAATCAACCGCTTTCTATTCACGATGAAACCCCGTGTATTTTTAATTCAACTTAATCCTGAAGCATCGATCGTTATCTCGATCGTAGGTGGTTGGTTTCAGAATTTAGCAAAGCCAATTAACCGGTTAGTGTTTCGCAATTATCGACCGGTGTACATACAAACGAGACCGCAACGGCGATCGATATCGTGCGATCGATCTGACTGTCGGTTATTAGACACGAAGAAAATCATCAGTGTATTCGATGATAATCTGAATACCCCTGGCTGTGAAGCCAGCTGTTAATTCGTACGTCGTAATCTGTCGATCTTATTCGGTGTATCTTGTTCGTTACATGTTCTGAACGTATAACAATGAAGACAATATGTACGTACTTTGACATGATCTTTTACCCTTAGACGGCGGACCAGGGACAGAGCCCTAATTTTTATTTAATTTTGTATCTTATGTTCTTTCCATTTTCTAAATTTTTACACTGTTTCTTTAAAAATTATTGCTCCAGTATAAGAAACTCTTTCGTTTAAAAATTATCATTCGACTTTAAATTAATATCCTTTATTAAGGCTCAAGGATTATAACGATATTATCTAGTGTGTTTGTTTTGGTTCTGTCTCGCTCTCTCAAAGTTTCTTATCAACTAAATGTGTGTCACTTGTTGACCATGGAGTTAATTTGGAAGTAGTTTGTTGTACCCTTTTTTAATTAAAAGCTAATTCATTCCTAGTCTGTTGGAATTAGAATAGTAATAGGTTTGGTTAGGTTAGGTTAGGTTGTATTTTAAATATGCATGTATACAGGGTGTCCCAGAACCTAGGAAAAATATGAAAGAATAAAAGTAATGTATTTTGATGTTATATATTTAATGTAATTTATTTGAAAGAGAAGTGTATTTTTATAATGAATTTTTCTTCATTATATCTTTGCTTCAGGCTATTGGCATTATTTTAAAAGTCATGGGGACTACATATTGTACTAAACTTCCTACAAATATACATACATATGTATAGCGACAGTAAAGTGTTAATTATGCTAAGTAGATTTATTATGCTTTCGTTTCGCTCTGTTTTGCTTCAAAATTAAATCAAAATGTAACTTTCCTTGCTTAATTAAATTATACTTCTGATAAAATGCCAACTCGCAGAGTAAAATTCTTCCAATTTTTACACGCTTGTGTTAGACTTTTGGCGAATTTTCTTTGTATCTTCGCAAGCGGTAATCTCGCATCCTTATCCCATTATGTAGAATTACAAGTGTCTTCCGCGTTCACGACTCGATTAATGGAAAGTCGGGAGGCGTAATACCATCGTCATTTCTAGCCTGTTTCACCAGACGGTGAATTATTAATTATCATCACACTGTGGATGAGTATTTATTGCATTCATGACATATCGCAATCTGCAAAATGCATAGTACCTACCAATGGAAAAATGGGTAAAACTTCGTTTCGTGGGAGCAAAAATGAGTGGTTCAAAAATATCAAATCTTGTAATTTTCAACCTGAAATATTCAAAAATACAAGTGAAAAGTTTTGGAAACCAATGGTTTAAAAAATACATAAGATTTGATAATTTTTAACCAAAAATTTTTGGTCCTCTAAGATGAAATGCAGCCTTAAAATGAAATGAACTGTGAATTTGTGAACTATATGGATTGTTTCAAAATTTTGTCTCAATATAACAAAATT